TTGTTCATAGCCCCTTGCAATAACCTCTTCCCACTTTATGAATGGGGATTAACTGAAACAAAGTGCCAAGATATGACAGAATGGGTTTCTGGGGAACAACTGCATGTGCATCCATGAAGAAAGTGAAAATCTGGAAACAAAAGTTGTTGAGCTATTTTTAGGCTTTTATTTTTTAGCTGCAGGCTTGTCCCTCATAACTGCATGCAGATATCTGCTGCAAACCAGCAGGATGGAAACAGATAATATACGATGTGCCAGCTGCCGTATTAGTCACTACCAGAAATACCCTCTGCTCAGATCATGTGCTCTGTGGAACAGCAAGCGTAGGGCTTGTTACGGAAGGAGAAGCGTCTTTTCTGCTCCTGAAATATCACTTTTGATGGGCTTGTCTTGTTAAAGGTTAGTGATTGAGGAGGAGACATTTCACGGTGAGGCCCTGCGGTATCCACAGAGCTAGCGGGATTCTGCCAGTTGTCAGATGTTTTCCCCTATCAATGCCATCCCTCCTTATTTAGCTGGTGTCACAACTCCTTTTGTAGCAAATGCATCACCCAAAGGCTGGTGACCTTATCACCTGCCATTTCCATCACCTTCCAACGTACAGTAGCAACGTCTCTTAATACATTTGCAGGCTGCGTTCACCCTAGGAAACACATCTCACATTCTCCTATAGATATATTAACAGCAGATGTGCAGTTTTTTCATGTTTTCCAGGTTCCTAGTTAAGAGCTTTCTCATCTTGCCTTCAAGAAGCTTCTCTGAAGGTTGTTTTCAGGTGGCATTGGACCCTGGCTTGTCTAGCCAAAATCAATACATCCCTGTGTTCCAACCTTTGTTGGAAAGGTTGTGAGAACCTTGGGACATATTTTCATGCTTAGTGGGAATGCAAGATTATCTATATATTCTGGACCAGGGTCTTCGATACTATCTCCAAAATTGTTAACCAACCTCTCTCATCAAACCCAGCCTTTGCTCTGCCTTCACTAAAGCCAGATTCTAATCCTACTATCCAGCATAAAGATTTAATTCCCTCCCCTACTGATAGCCGCATGTCTCATGATACCGTATCACTGGAAATCCCAGGAAGCCTACCTCTAATAAAAACAATAATAATTTATTATTTATATCCCACCCATCTAGCTAGGCCTCCCCAGCCACTCTGGGTGGCTCCCAACAGAATATTGAAAACACGATAAAACATCAAACGTTAAAAACTTCCCTAAACAGGGCCACCTTCAGATGTCTTCTAAAAGTCAGATAGTTGTTTATTTCCTTGACATCTGATGGGAGGGAGTTCCACAGGGCGGGCGCCACTACCAAGAAGGCCCTCTGCCTGGTTCCCTGTAACTTCACTTCTCGCAGTGAGGGAACCTCCAGAAGGCCCTCGGAGCTGAATCTCAGTGTCTGGGCTGAACGATGGGGGTGGAGATGCTCCTTCAGGTATACTGGGCCAAGGCCGTTTAGGGCTTTAAAGGTCAGCACCAACACTTTGAATTGTGCTTGGAAACGTACTGGGAAATCCTGAAAAAAAATATAGTCCGGTCCACCACATGGTCTGAGGGACAGTGGACCAGCCCACAGCTGAAAAAGGTTGCTGACCCCTGGCATAGGTCCATCGAAATCAGAATTGCCTGCAATTGACTGGAAGTCGCTCTCCAGGAAGTCGCTTTCTCAGGAAGAGAAAAATATTTTTGGCAGGAGCACGTGAGGCAGGAGAGGGGTGACAGAGCCGCATCTCCAATTTTTATTTTTAAAAATATTTTTATTAACAATTTCAGCATAACAAAATTTCAAAACATATCATATTCATTATTTCCCCCTTTTTCCCCCACCCCCCATCAAACCCTCCCCCCGAAACTTCCCTCAGCTCCTCTCTCTGATTTCTCAGCACATATTATTCTCTGCATATTATAAACTTGTACATATCCTTACGTTATCTTTCTATCATGTTATCAACCAATAAATTTGTTTATTCAAACCCTGCCAAGGAGTCCAGTTCATTTTGTTGTCTTTTCAGATAATTTATAAAAAGCTCCCCTTCTTCCTTAAAGTCACAGTTGTCCTTGTCCCTCAGTTTGTATGTCAATTTAGCCAGTTCTGCATAAGCCACCAATTTTTCTTGCCACTGTTCTTTTGTTGGGATTTCCTCATTCTTCCATCCTTGTGCTACCAAGACTCTTGCCGCTGTTGTAGCATACATAAATAAGTTCTTTATTTTTCTTGCATCTCCCATTTTTAGAGGAGCTTCAGGGAAAATTGCAATTTTCTTCTTCTTTTGGCCTCTAGTGCAGTATCAAAATGGGGAAAATGTGCATCTTCTTCCATTTGTACAAGACAGCTCATACAGCTCATCACATGGGAGATCTGCAAGTTCCCCTTTGGCCATTGTACTTGCAGCATGAAGAGCAGAAACTCTGGTGCTCACATATAAGAAACAGCAGCATTCTGTCCTTGTTCTTCGTCTCTCAGCGTCCCAGTCTCCTGCACCCAAATCTAACAACTTGATTTCATTATTTCCCCTTCCTTCCACCCACATCCTTGCCTTCAGCTCAGTGTGGAGCAATGGTTAGTCTTTAAACGTTAGCATTTCAAGCACTAAACAACTTAGGCCCAAATATCTGAAAGACCACCACCTTTCCCACAGTCCCACTTGGGCTGGCCTTGGCCCAGTATACCTGAAGGAGCGTCTCCACCCCCATCGTTCTGCCAGAACGCTGAGGTCCAGCACCGAGGGCCTTCTGGCGGTTCCCTCACTGTGAGAAGCAAAGCTACAGGGAACCAGGCAGAGGGCCTTCTCGGTAGTGGCGCCTGCCCTGTGGAATGCCCTGCCATCAGATGTCAGAGATAAACAACTACCTGACATTTAGAAGACATCTGAAGGCAGCCCTGTTCAGTGAAGTTTTTAATGTGTGACATTTTAATGTATTTTAAATTTTTGTTGGAAGCCACCCAGAGTGGCTGGGGAAACTCAGCCAGATGGGCAGGGTGCAAATAATAACATTATTATTATTATTATTATTAGCAGGGCCACTCAAGGAAGTCCCATCATCCTCAGAAGTTTGGGGGTGGCAGCTTCTAAGTTGTGGAATTCCCTCCCCATCAAACTTGGCACCTCCCTGGTCTAGTTTCTATGGTAGGCTGAAGTCAGACCTCTTTACCCTAGCCCAGGCATAGGCAAACTTGGCCCTCCAGATGTTTTTGGCCTACAACTCCCATCATCCCTAGTTAGCAGGACCAGTGGTCAGGGATGATGGGAATTGTAGTCTCAAAACATCTGGAGGGCCAAGTTTGCCTATGCCTGCCCTAGCCATTGGCACCCGATATCAATTAGCAACTACCCTATTTTTGTGACGGTCAGCTGTTTCAAATTGCTTTTAATAGCGCTTTTCTAAAGCGCTGCAACCTGTCCTTAGACCTCACGAAGGGAGGTTAACAGCTCGAAAATAATATAAAATACTTGGATCAGGCTTCCAATCTGTACTTGCCATGAAGCTCATAGGCAGTGTCTGAAATTCGCCAGATTGCGACCAAGTGAAGATGCCTGCGTGTCAGGATGGCACCCAACATCTCCACCATCTGGAGGTTTATTCCTGGAGATCCTTGGAGCTGAACTGTTTTCTCACACCAATTCCACATCCTGTAGAATTCTATCAGTTCTATTTTATCTGCACAATCTGAATGCATTTCAGGAACCAAAATGCTTTTTTTGTGTGCAGGCTGAGCAGGAGCAGGGAATGACTTTAGAGTTAACCACAGTAGCTTGTTTTCATTTACCCTACCCCACTTTCCTGTTCACAGTTGTGAAGAAACCGCATTTGTGGATGAACTGCCTACCTTGCCACGTGTGTGTCATCGCACATTCTGGTCTGCAACCCTCTTTCATAACTGCATAAATTGTTAACACTATGCAGTCTACGGTGGGATATTTAAAGTCTCCTTACTCCACCTGGTGGCTCAGAAGTCCACTGCAACGTTATGAGTAACCGGACAACACGGCCAAGAATCTGTGGCAATTAATGAAGGTACAGAATATATCCTACAACCTCTTTGTGGGCAGATTTATTGGGTCTTTTTTAGAGGTTCAGATGTATTATATGTCTCAGAAAAATGGGATGATGCACAGAAGTAAAACTGACCCAGATTCTCTGTCTACGCTTGCTGAAAAATCAGCACAAGCGTCTTGGGTGGAATTGGGCAGAAAATCTCTGTAGCAAACAGCTGTATTAAGTTGTCATCTTTTAAAAGGAAAATAAAAATCTAAAGCTATGTTGTGGAATCCTCTGCTCCTCCAAAGTGGTGCCATGCCCTCAGCTGCAATCACAGCTATTAAAGGTAAAGGTAAAGGGACCCCTGGGGACGCGGGTGGCGCTGTGGGTTAAACCACAGAGCCTAGGACTTGCCGATCAGAAGGTCGGCAGTTCGAATCCCCACGACAGGGTGAGCTCCCGTTGCTCAGTCCCTGCTCCTGTCAACCTAGCAGTTCGAAAGCACCTCAAAGTGCAAGTAGATAAATAGGTACCGCTCTGGCGGGAAGGTAAATGGTGTTTCCGTGCGCTGCTCTGGTTCGCCAGAAGCGGCTTAGGTACCGCTGGACCTCATGGTCAGGGGTCCCTTTACCCTTTACCTAAAGGGACCCCTGACCATTAGGTCCAGTCGTGGCCGACTCTGGGCTTGCGGCGCTCATCTCGCTTTATTGGCCGAGGGAGCCAGTGTACAGCTTCCGAGTCATGTGGCCAGCATGACTAAGCCGCTTCTGGTGAACCAAAGCAGCGCAGGGAAATACCGTTTACCTTCCCGCCAGAGCGGTACCTATTTATCTGCTTGCACTTTGACGTGCTTTTGAACTGCTAGGCTGGCAGGAGTAAGGACAGAGCAACAGGAGCTCACCCCGTCATGGGGATTTGAACCGCCGACCTTCTGATTGGCAAGTCCTAGGCTCTGTGGTTTAACCCACAGCACCACCTCCATCCTGTCCAATCACAGCTATTATCAAGTAGCAATTAATAGCTCAGTCGGTAGAACACGAGTCTCTTTATCTCAGGGTTGTGGGTTTGACTCCCATGCTGGGCAAAAGATTCCTAGCATTCTGGCTGGAGATGATGGGAGCTGGAAGTCCAACACCATCCATAGCACTACAGGTTCCCCACTGCTGGTTTAGATGAAGGTAGGTAAATTGGTTTCTATCCCAAACCCAAAGAAATGGTGGCACCAGGGCATACACAAAGCCTAGGCCACCACAACAGGCAGACTGAGAACGACGGAAGCTCTGTTTTAGTAAACAAAGGTGGGCATCTAAACCTTAACATATATGTTAATGGCCTATGGAGAAGTATTCACCGGAAACATATAATTGTCTCTAAGTGTTTGTTTTGAAGAGCGCTGCATGGAGAGTTCCTATGCATCATGCAAATGTGGCTTCCATCCATTTATTATTTATTCAGAGTCATCAGAAAGACATGCATAAATAAGCAACATGGGTTTCCATTTCCAACATCCGGCATATTTGAACAACACACAGCGCTCTCCTCCTGGACAAATGTTCGAGAGATGTATTGCAATTTGATCTTGGGGTGCTGCTGTATCGACTTCTAAACTCGGGGGGAGGGCACGGGCGCGACGGGACAGCCACGAGAGGACAACGCAAAGCAGCATCTGGCAAGACCTTTTCTTTCATCTTCCCATTTCACGGAGCAACAAAGGTCCAGAGATCTGCATACCCACCTTGGGAGTTGCTGGCTGATGTCCTCGTTTCATTCAAGGAGGGATTGTAAACAGCAAAAACAAAACAAGCCTAGCAACCAGTCCTCATTAAGGTGGCAGCAGCTGCCCTTACTGCCAGCTGCCCAATTTAACAAGAAAACGTGAAGCACAGGAAAGAATACCTACCAAAAAAACACACCCCACAACACCATTACAATGTCGTGCTGGGTTTTTAAACAACAGGTTGAGTTACTGCTGAGATCGTTTCCATTGGGTCTAGTTCAAGTGGGGAAACTGGGCAGGAGTGCAAGGGTTAAGCGCTGCCCTGTTCCCCGCTAGTCCCCTGCCACTGCTGGTCCCTCTGCCCAAGACTGTAGCCTCAATCACATCAACAGTGAAAAACAGGGGCGCTGATGCTGCGATCGCTGTGGCCTGTTTCCCCACGGCCATGTTTCAGACCTTTGCGCCGTAGATCAAGCTTCAGGAGGTTGCAAAAGGAAGACTGGTATCTTTGGGAGTTTAAAGCTAGGGCTGCAAGCCCAGACTGCCTGCGTAACGGTGCTTTTCTGAATGCGTAGATATATAAAAAATAGTCACCTTAAAATTAGATGCAATAAAATTTCCCTATCATAATTTGCATTTCCCCATCCCCACCCCACACATTTTACGAGCCTGTGCACTTTGGTGCCACGTGGCCTTTTGTCTCCGGGGTCAACCAAACAGCCCCACCCAGCCTGACTACAAAGTGGCTCCTAATATATTTCGTAGCCTTGTTTTGTGTTTTCTACATACAAGGTTGCCCTGAGTCCTTCACAACAAACGCCGTGGTTTAATAGAAGGGCTCGTCTAACAGAGCCTCTGCTTTTCACTCGTCCTCCGGGGGCTCGGCAAACCTCAATTGATCCTAAGCTCTTACCCGTTTTAAGGGACAACAGTGCAGAAAGCAGATGTTCGGTGAATTAATTTATCGTACCGAAGGTCAGTGGGGGTACTGCGGAGGCAGAGGCTGTGGTTTCAGAGGAGTGTGAAAGGAAATGCTTTTAAAAAATAAAATGCCTTGCATAGCGTATCATATCGGGGAAACACTCAATCATGCTGAAGAGCTACTGTCCCACCCGCAAGTTCCGTGTGCAATGAGAACATTCCAACAGCATGATGCGCTCTTGTGGGAAAGCCAAGCCAGCTGGTCCCAGTTCTCTTAGCGGCATTGGCGGGTCACCATCTTGACCATTTTCAGCGCCATATCTCCTTGGTCAGCTGGTACCTGTTAAGGAGAGGAACGTGATCTTTACTCTCTTTCCATTATTACATTTTTATTCCACCTTTTCTCCAGAGAGCTCTTACACAAACACACTTCTTCCTGTCTCCATTTAATCCTTGCAACAGCAGCGTGAGGTAGGTTAGGCTGAGAGATAATCGGCTTCATGGCTGAGAGGGGATTTCAACCCTGGTCTCCTAGGTCCAAGCACAGTGGTACCTCGGAAGTCGAACGGAATCCGTTTCGGAAGTCCATTTGACTTCCAAAACGTCGGGAAACCAAGGCGCGGCTTCCGATTTGCAGGAAGCTCCTGCAGCCAATCGGAAGCCACGTCGGATGTTCGGGTTCCAAAGAACATTCACAAACCGGAACACTCACTTCCGGGTTTGTGGTGTTCAGGAGCCAAAACGTTCGACTTGCAATGTGTTCAGGATCCAAGCCTTTTACAATGTGGCTGGGGCTTTTTGGGGTTGTTTTTGTTTTTATTTTGATTTTATCTTGTGAACTACCCTGAGACCTGCGGGTATAGGGCGGTCTGCAAACTATTATTATTAATAATAATTCTTCAGGACTCTATCACATCATGTTGGCATGCATGGACTGCTATTAACTCTTTTATTATTTGTCTGTCTGTCACTATGCTTTTTTATTATGTTTTTATTATGGATGTTCTGTAACGTGTTTTTAATGTTGTTCACTGCCCCAGGATCTTTTGATAAAGAGTGGTATGAAAACTGAATAAATAATAAATAATGATGATAGAAGCAGCTAGAGAGAATGTCACAGGTAGCCACAGCTAATGATTAGTCATTTAGAAAAGAAAAGGGGGGGGCAAACCCCAGGTATAATATTATTCATCTCAGGATTTGCTATCATTTAAAGACAGTGATCCAGAGATGCCAGGGTAAGGCTCCCCTCCCCTCCACACACAGTATTTTTTGGCGTAGGTAGAGAACCGTAAGAGAAATCTGAGGCCTACTGATTTCAAGCGCAACGACGGGATTGAAAAATTCCCAAGAAACAAAGGCCAGTGCAATCTCATCATATCACTATCGTCTAATGAAAGGTCTCAACTTATGGGAGCCTGCCATCTTGAATAAATTATCCAATCATCATTGTGCCCTCTCCACGCTTCCACACTGTAAGAAACAGAACTGCAGCGACTACTGCGACATCAAGAGATTTGTCTCTTGCTGGCAGTTGGTGATTTCAGGATTTTCCCTAACTACCTACAGCGTTTAGTCATTTTGACATGGCCCCTTAAGGACAAAGCAGTTGTGTTCGCTTCCCTTTCCCTTTCATCCTTTGTAGTTCTTATTCAGGCCCAGGCAGGTACCAGAAGTATAAAGGGCCCCTGGACGGTTACGTCCAGTCAAAAGCGATTATGGGGTTGCGGCCCTCATCTCGCTTTCAGGCCGAGGGAACCGGCGTTTGTCCACAGACAGCTTTCCAGGTCATGTGCAGCTTTCCAGCATGACTAAACCACTTCTTGAGCAACGGGACACCGTGACAGAAACCAGAGCACATGGAAATGCTGTTTACCTTCCCGCTGCAGCCATACCTATTTACCGTATTTTTTGCTCTATAAGACTCACTTTTTCCCTCCTAAAAAGTAAGGGGAAATGTGTGTGCGTCTTATGGAGCGAATGCAGGCTGCGCAGCCATCCCAGAAGCCAGGACAGGAAGAGGGATTGCTGCTTTCACTGCATAGCGATCCCTCTTGCTGTTCTGGCTTCTGAGATTCAGAATATTTTTTTTCTTGTTTTCCTCCTCCAAAAACTAGGTGTGTCTTGTGGTCTGGTGCGTCTTATAGAGCGAAAAATACGGTATCTACTTGTACTGGTGTGCTTTCGAACTGCTAGATTGGCAGGAGCTGGGACAGAGCAACGGGAGCTCACCCCATCGAAAGGGATTCGAACCGCCGACTTTCTGATTGGCAAGCCCAAGAGGCTCAGTGGTTTAGACCACAGCACCACCTGCATACCAGAAGTAGCCTAGCCTTGGCTCGATGATAAACAGCCCCCAACCCTATTTCAAGTGCCTTTTTGTGGAACTGTTATGACTATAAGCCTGGTCACATATAACCTATTGGTTTTTATGTATTTCTCTCTCTTAAACACACAGGCCTTTAAACACACACACACTTTGCAGCTTGAAAGCTTCTAGCAGTATTTTATAAAACCAGCTGGACCAATAAAAGGTTTCAACTCAATTGTTCCGTGTTCCTTGTTCTGTGAAATATTAAGACGGCTATTATAACTATTTCCTTTGGCACCTTGCACGGGAGCATTAGTGAAGATTCTCCATACGGTGCTAAATCCCTGCTCTCCGAGTCATTGCACCCAAAAATGATGTACTGCGACTGCCAGCAACGTAACTCCTTGAAAAGACTGCAACAGGAGCATCCAATTTAAAGCAATCAAGTCTCCTTTATATTCCATTTTGTTTCTTTCCCAAGGCATATGAGTTAACTTACCATGTGCCCAGCTTTCAGAATCCAGAAAAAGTCCAGGTTTTCATAGGACTTATGGAAAGCAGCCGTCGCTGTGGATTCTGATCCTACATATAAAGGCTTCCACCTTTGCGCAGTAAACTTTTTCAGCATGGGCCACTTCAGTTTCCGCAGCCATGCTTCCTGGCCTAAAGAGATAATTGAGGGGGGGGGAGAGAAAATGCTCATGTAAGAAAGAGGTGTCCTGCTTTGCCAGACATCACACTCCACAAAAAATGGTGGCGGTAGCAGGAAATGTCCTTACTGGGTTTTGCTATCTGTTTTAGAAGACCCTGGAATACTACACTTTCCCCCCAGCCCTGCAATAATCAATATACAGTGGTACCTCTGGTTACGTACTTAATTCGTTCCGGAGGTGCGTTCTTAACCTGAAACTGTTCTTAACCTGAAGCACCACTTTAGCTAATGGGGCCTCCTGCTGCTGCTGTGCTGCCGCTGCTCGATTTCTGTTCTCATCTGTTCTTAACCCAAGGTAATATTTCTGGGTTAGCGGAGTCTGTAACCTGAAGTGTATGTAACCTGAGGTACCACTGTAATCAATTTAAAGGAACAAAAAAGAGCTCTGCTGCCCATAGGAAGCCTGAAAGGGGGTAAAGTTAAAGGACCCCTGGACAGTTAAGTCCAGTCAAAGGCGACTATGGGGTTGTGGCGCTCATCTCGCTTTCAGGCCAAGGGAGCCGAGTTCGCCTATGCCTGGCATAGAAACTTGTTTTTCATTTAACCCTGCGGTATACATCTCTGCTCATCCCTTAGTACAGGTATAGGCAAACTGTGCCCTCCAGATGTTTTGGGACTACAACTCCCATCATCCCTAGCTAACAGGACCAGTGGTCAGGGACGATGGGAATTGTAGTCTCAAAACATCTGGCGGGCCGAGTTTGCCTATGCCTGGTCTTGACAATGGGTGGATCTACACACGGGCAGGGGGGACCACTATAAATAAGTCAGAAATTAGATTATAACAAAAACTAAATAAAAAACCCTATGGAAAAGGGCGTATAAAAAATTCCTGCTCTCTGGCGCCATCTGGTGCTGCATGTTTATAGCACATTCAAATCACTGTTTCTTTACTAACGTAGCCGAGTCCAGTATCTTAGGAAGGCAAGCCGGAATTGTTAAGAAACTGTAGTTTGGGATTGGGCATTACAAACTGCATTCTCCTCTTCATGGCTGTACTGAGTGACAGAGGACAGAGCACTCGTGCAAGAAACACTACCGACTGGCACTGAATCCAAACCAGAATGAGGAACCAAGGGCAGGAATATTGAAATAGAGTGACTCAACTGGCAACAGGATGAGATGTTACAAAAAGGTGGGTTGCCAACTACCCGAGGAGAACCATGACACTATCAGGGAATCATTTAAGACATTTCTAAGCAACTGGCGCGTGCACACAGAATATGCCTGTGACTTCTACAGTCACCGCCTCTCGTCTCCACCCTGTCTTTCCTGATACTAACAATTATAGTCTCTGGAACCGCCTTCAAAATTACTTTTCTAAATTGGGTGCTGCGGATTCACCTCTTCCTGGGAGGTTGTTTGCATCTTAAATGCAAACCCAGAGGCGTAGCGTGGGTTGTCAGCACCCGGGGCAAGGCAAGTAATTTGCGCCCCCTAGAGTGAGTGAGCCAGGTAGGGGCAGAGAGCTGCGAGTGCAAGCGCGCCCCCCCCAGATGTTGCGCCCGGTGCAGCCGGCCCCCCCTGCACCCCCCACGCTACGCCACTGTGCAAACCTGAGCCAGCAAGCTTGTTCCCAAGTCAGGTCTCCACAAACCATGTTGCCTTAGGTGTAAAGCGATAACGACATAAAAGTGGATATTTGAATACAGTGGATGCTCCGGTTGCGAACGTGATCCATGAGGGATGCATGTTCGCAACCTGCAGCGGCGCATCTGCGCACGCCCAGGTTGCGATTTAGTGCTTCTGCTCATGTGCGACTGCCAAAACCTGGAAGTAACCTGTTCTGATACTTCCGGGTTTCAGCGGTCCATAACCCAAAAAAACACAATCTGAAGCATCTGTAACCCGAGGTATGACTGTATAGGTTTTGTACATTTTGCAGAAGTTCTTGTTTTAGCCTAGGACAAGACAACCTGGTTATACAGTGGTACCTCGGGTTAAGTACTTAATTCGTTTGGGAGGTCCGTTCTTAACCTGAAACTGTTCTTAACCTGAAGCACCACTTTAGCTAATGGGGCCTCCTGCTGGCGCCGCGCCGTCAGAGCACAATTTCTGTTCTTATCCTGAAGCAAAGTTCTTAACCTGAAGCACTATTTCTGGGTTAGCGGAGTCTGTAACCTGAAGTGTATGTAACCTGAAGCGTATGTAACCCGAGGTACCACTATAATCCAAATATTTGGGCAGGCATTCAAGCATGCTTCCAGAAGCCTGAGTTCTCATGGCTACAAGTCAATCTGTGTTCTCAGGGAATTGATCATATTGCCTTGTGATCAAACAGGCCCTGAAAGCCAGTCAGTTGTGTATATTATCAACTGCACACTGCAAGAACTCAGCCTGAATGGCTTATCAGTATTGCACATCTTTGCAGCTCCTCTTAAGCTGGGTTGATAGACAGCTGCAGGAGGTGGGAGGAAGCAAATATTAAGTTTCTAGATCTTATAGCTTTGAAAACATTGGAGTAACGACTGGTGAAGTCTCAGAATGGGGCACAGCAAGTATTTGAACACCTTAGCAAGCAAGTTTAACACTTACACCAAGGTTTTACAAACGTGGACCACCAGCTGTTTTTGAACTACAACTCCCATCATCCCTAGCTAGCAAGACCGGTGGTCAGGGATGATGGGAATTGTAGTCTGAAAAGAGTTTGGGAAACCCTGCTATATAGTATCATGACTGTGAGACGCAAATGGGATTTCAAAAATGCTACACTTTGCCTATATCATCATCCTCCCTATCTCAGAAATATCCTTACCTATGGTAGAAACGATGAGATCCAACTGTCCATTGTAGACAGTAACATTGACGTTGGCTGCCAGCAAGTCGTCTACGATATCTATTACATTCTTCATGAAGTCTTCAGCCATATTCGCAAACACGTCTTTTGACTGGCCTGGAAGAATGATGGCAAAAACATTAAGAGACGGGGCAAGGAAAGGAAATATAATCAGTGTGGCTTTACCACTCATGGGGCCAGGCCCGGAGTTATCCGAGTCAGTATGATATACTGCTAAGGAGAAGTAGAACATTTTATGTGTTGGAGAAGAAATCAGAACATCCAGTGGCATGTACTTTCTTTAAGAAACAACAGTCGACCACCTTCCATTTTTTTCTGTGCAAATAAAACTGCGTATCAACTCCAACAATGAATTTGCATTTTTTTAAAAATAGAAGTGTGAATTTTAAAGTCTTCATGTATATACGTTCTTCTCATTAAACAGAGAAAAGTAATTGAGAAGAATATACTTCCACGTGCTCTCTTAAAACTAAACAAGCCTGCCAAGACAGAAAGAGTTTTCCACCAAGGTTCACAACTGCCATCAGGTCAGAATGTAATTTAGAATCAAAGGCTTGCGTCCAACTAAGTACTACTCAGAGTAAACCCACTGACATCAATGCAGCTAAGTTATGTCCAATAATTTCAATGAGTCTACTCCAGGGGTCAGCAAACTTTTTAAGCAAGGGGCTGGTCCACCGTCCCTCAGACCTTATGGGGGGCCAGACTATATTTTGAAGGGGGAAAAAATGAACAAATTCCTATGCCCCGCAAATAACCCAGAGATGCATTTTAAATACAAGCGCACATTCTACTCATGTAAAAACACGCTGATTCCCGGACTGTCCACGGGCCAGATTTAGAAGGCGATTGAGCCGGATCTGGCCCCCGGGCCTTAGTTTGCCTACCCGTGGTCTGCTCCAAGTATGACTAAGATTAGATGCAATCCACAGGGTGGTTGTCCATTAAGGTTTACTCAGAGTAAACCTACTGAAACCTAGGCATGTCCATTAAGTTTAATGGGTCTACTCTTGAGTAAAACCTAGTTGACTATCACCCATTGGTTGGGATCTTGAGTTTCCTTCTGCCCATGGAACACTCCAACCAGCAGAAAGGGGAGGCAATTTTAGTAGATACTTTCTTTCCCCACTGCTCCCCACAAATCTGCTCTGGAGCACTGGGGACAAGTGGGGCTGCAGCAGGGCCGGATTTAGGTTTCATGAGGCCCTAAGCTACTGAAGGTAATGGGGCCCTTAATAAGTAAGTAAGTAAGTAAAATATTTAATATAATTATAATATTTCTATATAGTACTATAGTAGCAAGTGGGCGTTAATAGGGAACTGCACTAGTAAATAATAATATAGGCCTACTAAATAATGAGGGACGTGGGTGGCGCTGTGGGTTAAACCACAGAGCCTAGGACTTGCCAATCAGAAGGTCGGCAGTTCGAATCCCCACGACTGGATGAGCTCCCGTTGCTTAGTCCCAGCTCCCTCGGCCAATAAAGCGAGATGAGCGCCGCAACCCCAGAGTCGGCCACAACTGGACCTAATGGTCAGGGGTCCCTTTACCTTTACTAAATAATAAAGATGAATATTTTTCAGAAGTAATTTTATAATGGGATCAAAATAAACAAATTATGTATTACATGAAACCAATCACTAAGCATAAGACTCACACCCTTGGTCTATGTTCCCTGATCATCAGTCTACAAGCACTCTTTAATATTAGATAACAGGTACAACAACTTGGCCGACATACAACTCTGCTGCACTGCAGTCTGCCATGCATCCAGTCCAGGCAAAATGTAGGCACCCTATATATAGAAATGAGCAAACCGGTGATATTTTAGGGAGCAGGCTAGCAGGCGGGGCCCATGACTTACATCATAGGAGCCTACACAACACAAAAACACTTGTTGTGTATCGGTTTTATTCTATTTGTTTTTTATCTTATATTTTGGAAACGTACATCCAGTTTTTTCCCCTTTAATTTTTTTGGGGGTGCCCCAAGAGAGCTATAGCTTGTTTAACTTATACAGAAATCTGGCACTGGGCTGCAGGGGGGTGGGGCTTTTGATGGAAGCCACTTCTGCTCTTCGAACAGGTGGGATCTTCCATTGCATCACAATTTCTTTCTTTGTACAGTGGTACCTCTGGTTACCAACTTAATTCGTTCCAGAGGTCCGTTCTTAAGCTGAAACCATTCTTAACCTGAGGTACCACTTTAGCTAATGGGGCCTCCTGTTGCTGCCACGTGATTTCTGTTCCTGGGGCAAAGTTCTTAACCCAAAGGACCACTTCCAGGTTAGCGGAGTCTGTAACCCGAAGTGTTTGTAACCCGAAGTACCACTGTAGAAGGTAACTCAAGAATCCAGTTCAAAAAGTGGAAGAGTTACAGTGGTACCTCAGGTTACATACACTTCAGGTTACAGACTCTGCTAACCCAGAAATAGTGCCTTGGGTTAAGAACTTTGCTTCAGGATGAGAACAGAAATCGTGCTATGGCGGCAGCAGGATGCCCCATTAGCTAAAGTGGTGCTTCAGGTTAAGAACAGTTTCAGGTTAAGAACGGACCTCCGGAACGAATTAAGTACTTAACCCGAGGTACTTAACCCGAGATATAGGGAAACAGACTGGAAATGCTCTATCACAGGCATAGGCAAACTCGGCCCTCCAGATGTTTTGAGACTACAACTCCCATCATCCCTGGCCACTGTTAGGTAGGGATCATGGGAGTTGTAGTCCCAAAACATCTGGAGGGCCGAGTTTGGCTATCCCTGCTCTATCAAAAGGACCACCCCCTCAATTTTCCAGAGATCAGAGTATACAAAATACCGCTTATGATACTAGGAAATTTTCAGCTTTATTCCAGAAGTTATGGCCCTACCTCCCCACTTGACATGGTCTGGAATTATTTTCAGCTTCTTCCTGATGGGCCCGTTCATCAAATCACTCAACTTGTCCTTACTTTGATGTTGTACATGACGCTGGAAGAGTTTCACTTATGGAAAGAGAAGGGGAGAGAAATAGAGAAAGGCTTTTATTGGAGACTGCACGAGCCGGTTTATCTGGAAAGATGACGCATATTAATTATAGAGCCTAAATCCTCGCCCTTCAGTTGCAAGAACTGCAGGGCGATTCCTAGTAGGCCAAAAATTTAAAAACCAACAAAACAAAAACAGCCTACTATAGCTTGGGGGGAATCAGACAGCGTGAGACAGCAATAAAACATCCCATAAGTGGCAGCAGAATCAAAACTAATAGCTAAAAGACAAATTAAAAAGTCATGGCTTGGCACCGTCATGCAATTTGGTGCTAGGAAAGATTCCCCAGGAGAAATATTTCCTTTCCTTGGTCATATGACCTGTCTAGTCATATGACCCAGTGCAGCATCCAAGGCCATAAATGAGGCCTTGCGTGGAAAAACATGGAAATTCCCAAATCTGCCACCAAATGTGACGGTTGGAGGAAATGTGTCTGGGGCACAAAGATATTTCTGGCAATGATAAACCTGCCCTCAAATAGGGCATTTCCCTCTGAACTTACACACAGGGACTGTTTCGCTTGCAATGGATGCAGCAGCTGTAGATGAAGTAGTATCCTGAGTCAGAATGTTATAGAAATTCACACCATTCGTGTACTAGAAAAGAAAATGGAGAATGCAGTGAGGAGAGCGAGAATGAGAGCTTCTCACCAGAAGACATCAGTACACCTCAGCTTTATACAGCTCTGGGTTTTCCCTCATGACAAGTCAAAATTCAGCTTTTCGGTGGGGGAGAATGAGCTTTTTAAGGAAGGCGATTGTCCAAAAAGTTGTTGAGGGTGGTTTTTTTTTGACACACACTTCCTGGTTCTGTTTGCAAAAAAACCAGACCTATGGCAACCCTACCACAAGTCATGAGTTGAGTCTTCTTTGCACCCAGTCATCAAACTGTCTCTGCTTCTTCAAAACTACTAAACCAGGGGTTGGCATCCTCTGTGGGCCAGACCGGTGCAGCGCGACGCCGGAAATCGTGTCTGTGCATGCTCAGATGCCGAAAATCGTGCCTCTGCAGAAGCGATTTTCGGCGTCTGGGCATGTGCAGAAGCGATTTCCAGCACCGTGGACATAGGTAAAGGGACTCCTGACCATTAGGTCCAGTTGTGGCCGACTCTGGGGTTGTGGGGCTCATCTCGCTTTATTGGCCAAGGGAGCAGGCGTACAGCTTCCGGGTCATGTGGCCAACATGACTAAGCCGCTTCTGGCGAACCAGAGCAGTGCACGGAAATGCCGTTTACCTTCCCGCTGGAGTGGTACCTATTTATCTACTTGCACTTTGTCGTGCTTTCAAACTGCTAGGTTGGCAGGAGCAGGGACCGAGCAACGGGAGCTCACCCCGTCGCGGGGAATCGAACCGCCGACCTTCTGATCGGCAAGTCCTAGGCTCTGTGGTTTAACCCACAGTGCCACCCACGTCCCTCACCATGGACATGCACAGACACAATTTCCGGCATCTGGGCATGCGCAGAAGCAATTTCCGGAGCCGCGGAAGAGAGTACCTGTGCCGCGCTGAGCTAGTTTAGTGCAGCGCGCGGGGACTCGCTGAGTGAGCGTCTCAGTTCGGGGGTGGCTCATGGGCTGGTTAAGCGACCTTCATGGGCCACTTCCGGCCCACAGGCCTTAGGTTGCTGACCTCTGTCTAATCTGCTAATACAAACTCCTTACAAAGCTTACCTCCTCTATGGTATCTTCGGCCTTACTCCAAAGCAATGTAGCCAGCTTAAATTGCCTTTTATTCATAGCATCAAGGACCTTTTTGGCAGCTGTGGTCACTTGTTTCAAACCTTTATCGTCAAGGTAAGACTGCAGTGCAAAATAGGGAAAATGAACATACATGAAAATCATATGACAGATGTGTTGACCACCCTGCCATATGCTGGGGACAAGGTACCTATACTTTCAAGAAGACAGTCCTCTATGAGAAAGGCGTCCTCTATTCAAAAGGATGTGTGGTCCAAGGATGGGTTAAAGATCAAGAACTATAGAAAAGAGACAGCAGGGACCCTGAAGTTGCTTATCAACACTTAGCACCCCGAGAAAGGCCAGGTACACACCAAGTCACAGTATTCTGCACTAAGGTAGGGCATATTGTGTATTTCAAAAATTTTATCTATACACTTAAATTAGCACATGTAATTCTTATGCAAGTCCGAATCCTCTTTTATTCGGTGATGCCTGAAGCTCCATACATACCATATCTATAAAGCACCCCACAGAAACACAAGGTATCCTGGGAATTGCAGTTTACTTATCACAGAGTTTAACAAATGACAACCTGAAGGATTATTTGGGAGGGCGGGAGAATGTGCTTTAAATGTATTGTGTGTACACAGTATAAGGGGCCGCCCTAGCATCTGAGAGTACTGCAGCCCAAACAAGAGGGAGTAGCTTTTGCATTTCACATGAAAATATGACCGTCTGCCTATGGAAATACAAGGATTCTGGGCTGGACGGGCCTTAGATCTGACGGTTCTCATGAAAAAGTAAAAAAACTGCAAAAAGCATGGACCGAGTAAACACTTACAGTGCTGTAAAGGTAAGGTCCCCAGGAAATCACAGAATCTAAAGGGTAAAAAAGAAAAATCATGAGTCTCCATGATGCAATAGACTTCCTTAACAGCCAGCTAAATTCACTCCGGCTGAAAAAAATCCCTGATTACAAGGATGACAGGAGAGATGTTCTCAAGACTCCCATTAACATACCTAGAGGAGAAATCCACGAATCGCCAAGTGCTACACCCAGAAAATTGCACTTTATGGTCCCAGCTTGAACAGCCTTTGAAAAAGGAAAAAAAGTCAACAAGAGTTTGTGTAAAATGAGATCTACACCAATACAAACAATATGTAGTATTTTGAGTAGGGCACCAGCAATTTGACAGTACCGCCTTCAAGAACACGTGGACCTATAAACAAGGCCTGTAGATTTTGGGTGCTGTTTCAGAGCAAACAGAGAGGCAGCCAGTATAGTCGTACCTTGGTTCTTGAACAGAATCCATTCCGGAAGTCCGTTTGACTTCTGAAAACGTTTGAAAACCAAGGGGTGGCTTCCAATTGGCTGCAGGAGCTTCCTGCACTGAATGAGAACCTGCAGAACCTGCGTCGGACATTTGGGTTCCAAAAAACATTCGCAAACTGGAACTCTCACTTCCGGGTTTGTGGCGTTCAGGAGCCAAAACTTTCAAGTCACAAGGCGTTCAAGAACCAAGGTACGACCGTTTTCCACAACTGATGGCAACGGTGGCAGATGATTATTAGCTAGCACCCATGAGAAGAGCCATGTTGCTAAGGAAGAATCCAATCTCTTTAGCACAGAGATGGGAAACCTGTCACCCTTCAGACTCCATCGGCCACAGCCAGCATGACCAATGGTCAGAGATGAGGGAAGCTGTAGCCCAGTGATCTCTAGAGGGACACAAGTTATTGCCTCCCCGCCTTCAGGGAAAGGTTTGATCCACGTACCTTATGCAGTTCCAAAGCGACGCCAGCAGCCATTTTGCCTCCGTACGATTCTGAAAAGATGTAGAAAGGTACTTTCTACAAGAGAAATCCCATGAAAGCAGTTAAGGTTTTGACCACCGTACATTCTATTCGCCCGCCCCTCGTCTCCAAACAGACAAAAATAAAAGTTTTGATGTTTCCTTCCTCCCCAAACGCACCGGAAATTGAACTATCCTGAGGAGCGAGGCCAGATTATAAAGTCTTCACTTCCATTTGCAATCATTAAGGGTAAATAAGGCCACAGGATAGTGACCATATACATCACTGAACAACTCCGGTGTGACCTAGAGTCAGGGATTATGGGAACTGTAGGGTCCCCTCTGAGGATTTGGTCATCAGATTTTTGCCACATTCTCTTTCCAAAGATAAAAACTCCTCCACTATAAACTAAGTATACCAAACTGGATTGACGTGCATGAGATCTTATGAATGCCGGTTTTCACTTCTGAAAAACCAAGGACTGGAATATTATTTCATCCGACTCGAAGGAACCCAGGGTATCTAGTTCCTCCATTTCATTCCCGCAATAACCCAGTGAGGTACGATGGGGCCAATCACTCTCAGCCCAAGGTTACCAAATGAGCTGAGCAAGGATTTGATTTCCTCAGACTTCCTCAAACACATTGCCCAATTTGAGGAAGCCGAGAATGTGAAGCAATAAGTGCAAAAGAGCAGGAAATAAACAAAGTGTTGAGACTCTCATGCTCCAATCCCTGTACTCTACAATGGCTTTGGAAACTCTCAAACCTTTCTGGAAAGTCATTCGGCCTAGTAACTGAAAAACACAAAACTGGGATTCTAAAATGGACGTATACTTCCCCTTTTCATCGAGCGTCATTTGCAGGGCGGGGAAATTCTCAACACAAGAGGGGCATTCAGATGTCATGATAAAACGATGGCTTATTGGGACAGGAATGAGCTCACATGAGCTCCTCCCATCTCTCCCGATTTCCGGTGTATTTCCTTTGATTCATCATAGTTCAGCATTCTGTCTGAACGCTAAACTGAGATCGATCCCAAGTATAGTTTGTTACAACAACCCACCGTCATAACCCTTGGTTTAAAGACTTGCCAATTTTTCAGATTAATGGCAGTTTGGGGTCTGGAGGAACACTAAACTGTGGTTAATCAAACTGGAAGTAAAAATACTTCCAAATTCTACCATGTAACCAATGACCTCATGTCACACACATCACGGCAGGGATGGTGGGTAGAGATAATAGTGTCATAAGTAATCGCCATAATATGTACATTTGACTTCAAAATGTTGGACACTCAATTCTTTTCTCTTTTTTTAAATAATTTTTTTATTAGATTTTCCACCGTGATAACACAAACCACAAAGCAAGATGATACACAAAAACAGAAAAAAAGAAAAAAGAAGAAAGAGAAAAGGAAAAAAGGGGGGAAAGGGGGAACAATAAACAGATAAACTATAACAACAAACTTAATTCTTCACAAATCCAACCTTTTAAACATCTTGGTTGACTTCCTCAAATCCCTCCCTTCTGAGTTTCCTTGCAATTAAAAGTAACAGCTTTCCAATATCATTATTAAACTAAAACAATTTCAATTATAGTCCATCTTACTCACTTTTCTTAACATTCTAAATCCCATTTATTTAATTGTAACTTAATTTAATCCTAGGCCTATTTGTTTATTTCAAGTAATTTCTATTTTTTTATATTACATGGACACTCGATTCTAGGCTCGTGTGGCCATTCAGTGGACTACTTGCAGCTCTAGCTGTAGAAGTAACATTTCCTACCTAATACTTAAAATTATTCCATCCTTATCTGGTTACTTGCCTGGAATTCGGGCTTAGACTTGAAGAATTCTCTGAGAACCACCATCAGGTCCGTGGAGACTGTGCAGAGATTTGTGGCGTATGCAAGCGTATCGTTCACATAGCTGAATCCAGTGCCAACAGGGTTATCGACAAACAGCAAGCTTGCTGTCTGCAGCTGCAGCACCAAAAGAAAACAGAGTAAGCCTTCTATATATACATCGGCAAAACACACACACAGAAAGAGAATAAGCAGTAGTGTGGCTAAAGATGACTTGACAACAGAGCAAAGCATGATTGCGCATTTGGTAAAGAAAAACCCTCCCCAGAGTTCCCACATTTCACTTTTCCATCAGGCTCAGATGTTTGCAACAGATAGATTCAAACTGGGCAAAACAAGGAAAATAATTTTGATGCCCCGTAAGTGGACTGTTCCTCGGAGCCATAACTACTGGGTGGGTGTGTGGCTAGCCAGGTTTTTTTGGCCCAACTGAAGCCTCCAAAGAGGTGCCATTGAGGCTCCCAGCCTGTGTGTGTGAGTGTGTGTGAGAGTGTGTGTGTGTGTGTGTGTGTGTGTGTGTGCGCGCGCATGCAAATGTGTGGGGTGTGCCAAACCAGGTCTTTGACCCAGGTGAAACAAAGCCCATTTTTGCCCCTCCTGTTCCAGGTTATTGTTTTTCGACTGCATTGTTTGAGGTTTTAGAAGATGGTGTGTAAATATATATACGAAGAAAGCCACAGTACAAACTCTTTAACGTACGCTTGCAAGTTTTGACTATCAGCATAAGCAGCAACAAGCCTTTGAGGCTAGCTAATCTTGTGAAACACACACACACCACCACAACAACAACATTGACAATGACTTTTACCACCCACATAATGTACAGAAATTAAGCAAGTGAGGCTTTTCCTGGAATTACAATTCCATTTTTCACTCAGGATGATGTTTCACCCACTTCATTTCTGTTTGTTGGGCTCGTTTAAAAGGATCAGGGCCAGTTAAAACTTCCATTGTTTGGTTTTTATCACATTTTTAAAATATAATTTTCATTATTACCGTTTCCAAAATCACATTCACATTCGAATATATATTTCCACCATTAATATCTTTTTTTATGACAAAACATTCAACGACTTCCCTTCCCCTTCCCCGATTCCTTTAATTTCCCCACCATTCCTGCACATTCTTACATGTCCTTTTAGTTTTTCTCCCTTTATTCTTCCTTTTTTATATATTATACCATTGAATTTACCTTAATCCTGCTAGTGTTTTCACTTGTTTACAGTTATTTTCCAAATAGTCTCCTTTTTATTGTTGCAAACCACGATGACACATTTCTGCGATATAGCAGTATTCAAATATTTTTACAAATAAATGACTAAATAAAATAAGTGCCAACTCTGGTTCCAAGATAAAAACATGCAGGAAGGATCCTAAAGCTCACATATTGTATGGGCAAAGGAAAACAGAAACGGGAAACAGAAACTGCAATATAGTATGATCAACTGCAACGTGCAGAGATCATGATCTGGAAGAGCCATTCATATTAAATTCCATGGGACACACTTTTTCCTGCTTAATCTCATAATCATGTGAGCAAGCATGGTTAACTCCTTAGACAGCAATGGGTGGGTGGGTAGGAAATGAATCTTCTAGTCACAAGCCATGATACATACCCAAGTTGTCTTTCTTGGCTTTAGATCACTATCTAAAGGGCCAATCTCTTCAAAGTTTCCGAATCCTGTTCCTGAAGCCCCCGGGCCACCCTGTGAAGCCACACAGATTAGGGGAAAAAGCAGAGAAAAACAGATTATAAACCTTTTATAGCCCTTCCATTCTTTGTCTCCACAAAATCCCTGTGAAGTAGGTCATCAGAGGTAGATGGTTTCTCCTATGGCTGAACATGGATTGCGTTTCCTCAGCAATCACTGCAAGATGTTAAACTACAACTCCCATCATCCCTGACCATTGGGCTTTACAGTCTGGCGCTGATGGGAGTTGGAGTCCCAACATCAGCCAGTAGGGCTGGGCGATATCTGGTTTTCAACATTGTGATGTTTCACTAGCTAAAACATCACAATATACTGATCTATAACAATGTCCTAGGACCTAGGTAAAAGGTAACGGATTCATGGACAGTTAAGTCCAGTCAAAGGTAACTACGAGGTTGCGGCGCTCATCTCCACTCTCAGGAGTCAGTGTTTGTCTACATACAGCTTTCCGGGTCATGTGGCCAGCATAACTAAACCGCTTCTGACGCAACAGAAAACCATGACGGAAACCAGAGCACATGGAAATGCCGTTTACATTTCTGCCGCAGCGGTACCTACCGTATTTTTTTGCTCCATAAGACACACTTTTTTCCTCCTAAAAAGTAAGGGGAAATATCTGTGCGTCTTATGGAGCGAATGTGTGGTCGATCGCTGGCTCCCTTTCCGGCCCCGGCCCCTTGACCAGGCCTCCATTGTTGAATGTTCTGCAGACGGAGGCTGTTTGTTTCCCCAGCGACATGTGATTGGCTGATTAGATTATATGTCTGGAAACTGTAGAAACAACTCCCTTTCCTTTCCTAAAGAAGCTGCAGAACTGTGAGTTTAACCCTATAAAAACAGGATTTTTTCCCTTTGCAAAGTAAGCTAAACAACTTTGAGTTGATCCTCAAAAAAATGGGCTTCCCCCTTTCCTCCTCTAAAAACTAGGTGCGTTTTATGTTTAGGTGCATCTTATGGAGCGAAAAATACGATATTTATCTACTTGCACTGGTGTGCTTTCGAACTGCTAGGTTGGCAGGAGCTGGGAAAGGACAATGGGCGCTCACTCTGTCACAGGGAATCGCCAACCTTCTGATCGGCAAGCCCAAAAGGCTCAGTGGTTTAGACCACAGCGCCACCCGCTGCTGACTGCCGCAGTAAACTGATAGCATAATCCTTCTGCAAATCACACCCCATATCCTGCCCGAACTTACCTGAAGCCACATGATCAGAGGGAGCTGCGTGAAATTCTTCGCAGGGCTGTCAGCATAGTACAGCCACCAGAACATGCTGGCGTTGGGCCTGACAGTGACATACCCCCATGCCTGCTTCGGTTCTTTTGGTTCCTCTAAATACACAGCTGAAAAGGAGGAGGAGAAAAAACACCGGTTGCTACACTTTATAGAAAGGTGGTGTATGCGCTTGACATAATAAATATGGACAGGAACCCTTTTGACTCCAGTACAGTGGTACCTCGGGATGCAAACAGGATCTGTTCCGGAGCCCCGTTCGCATCCCGAACGGAACGCAAGACACGACGGTGCGTCTGCGCATGCCGCGTTTTGCCGCTTCCGCGCATGCGCATGACGTCATTTTGATTGTCTGCGCATGCACAAGTGGCAAAACCCAGACCGTTACTTCCGGGTTGCCACAGAGCGCAACTCGAACGCACTCAACCCGAAGCACATTCAACTCGAGGTATGACTTTACCAAGATCAATGTTCGGCCCATTTCAACACACAAAGCTGCTTCTTCTATCACTGTGTCAATGATTCTTGAGAAACTGCTACTTGTGCAATGGGTCAGGCTGGTATCGTACAGTGCAACTCGAATCCATAAAAGCAGTTGCATGCCAGATCGTCGCTGAAAAATTACTAGACACACCCTCGCAAAGGATTCTTAGGCAATTCAGACAAACCACAAGGCTGAGGTCAGAGTATCTGCAGAAGCCCAGAGGCCTACTCTTAGAGACGTTCAAGGCTACATTGCAAAAGGGTATTTGGTGTCATTTAAAGCAGGCATAGGCAAACTCCAGCTCTCCAGATGTTTGGGACTACAATTCCCATCATCCCTGACCACTGGTCCTGTTAGCTAGGGATGATGGGAATTGTAGTCCCAAACATCTGGAGGGCCGGAGTTTGCCTACGCCTGATTTAAAGCAATAATTTGGGTTGTATTCCACACAGCGCTAAGGTGAACATTCACCGTAAGGATTTCTGCTTGCGCAACAGAACAACCTCCCACTCTCCTCCAAGCCACCTAAATATATTTGGGGGGTTCCTCTGGAGTAGATTTGGGGATGGTGCAAGGGACACACAGGGAAAGGAGAAGGGGGGCAAGTCCCATTGTGCATCAGCGCAAACAACCATAACTTGGATGGGCAGTCACCTCAGTTAGGACTGGACATTTCAAGAACATTGCCAGCAGAAGAGAGGCAGCCTACAGCTCCTTCCGTAAAGTCTTGTGAACAGCTAGGATATTCTAGGCACAACCAATCACGGAAAGGAGATAACTAATTGACCTTCACCCCCACAGCTGTGTACTTTACCATCTCGCTTGGATTATATCTCAGAATCTGTCACATTACTCAGAGGCACTGGGTGTTCTGTCCACACCCCGGGAAGCTATGTATTTTTCCTCTGGCATCCCAGAGCACTGTTACTCTGGGACAATACATAAATATATTTATGCATTCAGCTTTCTGAAATGAAAATGCATGTGAATAAGAGGTTGTGGTCTGGTTCACACATCCAGCAGAAATGAGGTGGCGAAATGACTTCTTACCACTTTGGACTTACTAAAGTGGTACCTCGGTTTTCGAACAGAATCCGTTCCGGAAGACCGTTCAAGTTCTAAAACGTTCGAAAACCCAAAACTCAATAGCTGACAGCTAGGCCTCAGGATCTTGCACTCCGCGGAAGCCACGTGCCATGTTCAACTTCCAAGGCATGTTCGAAAACCGAAGCATTTACTTCCGTGTTTACGGCGTTCGAAAACCAAAATGTTCGTCAACAGAGATGTTCGAAAACTGAGGTACCACTGTACTTCGGACTGCATGTAGGGCATTTCTGAATGCTCCTCCTCTTAAGAACTCCCTAGAAGAAATCAAACACATCGGGAAGAAACACATCGGGGAGAAACGTTCTGTATGTTATCTCCCTGCTGTGCTAGTTTTGTGCTTGCAGAGATCACGCACACAACATTCAGTAGTGCGGCTCTCCATTTGCAGTCAGAAGAGGCAGACCCATTTTACCATCTCGTCCTACTAGATCAGGCTTCCTCAACCTTGGCCCCCCAGATGACTTGAGACTACAATTCCCAGCATCCCTGACCACTGGGGTCTTGCTAGCTAGGGATCATGGGAGTTGTAGGCCAAAAACATCTGGAGGGCCGAGACTGAGGAAGCCATTACTGCATCAGGTGGCCTGGTGTGGAGCTGTTTCAGCAAACAGGAAGGGTTGTCACATTTCAGTCTCGCCCCTAACTGCAGCACACAGCTTGATAAACACAGGCATAGAAACCAGCTGCTAGGCAAGTTTTTGGCATGTAGGCTTCCAATAAAACCTTGATTGCCGCTCACTGCATTCCACCAATAGGATTCAGCCTTCCTCCAGAAACTGATGCCACAACAGTCAATGCAACTGCTCTGGGTGAGAGTAGCCTCCCCACCCATCTGTAGGTGTAAAGCTATGGTTGCGAATGGACTACTCCCAGAAAACGGCGCCACCTTTTTCTCACGTGGCTGTTATTAACTCTTTCAGCAGAAATTCAGCCAGAGCCGGCCATCGCTCCATCTCTATGCTGGGAATCTAATCCCCTGCTGAATGCAATTAATTGTTAAATCTAATGGTGAGGGGGTGGAAGTTTGACAAATTTAGTCCCAGAGAGTAAAAAATGTACACTGTGTGTGTTTCTATACCTTTTTATTTCCCTGTGTTCCATGGGATTTACTCCTATGAAGAATGCACAGGATGGTCACTTTGGAAACACAGGGCAAATCCTGCAAACACGCAGAACTTTCACACATACATTTATTTCTGATTTATTGACCGATTTGTAGACTGCCTTTTAAGGGAACAGTTACCTTCCTATCACTAATTGCAAAGTATAAACATGTAACGGACAACGTGGAGTTAAAAACTGGATTACTGCCCATAAAAATGAGCAGAAGTCATCAGTACAACAATGGACATGAATGGAGACTGTCACATTAAAAAGGTCAAAGATGGGGAATGAATTCCACAATCACAGGGCCACCACCAGAACACCCTTGCTCTGGTACCCATCACTCTAATGCGGGCTTCCTCAACCTCGGCCCTCCAGATGTTTTGAGACTACAATTCCCACCATCCCTGACCACTGGTCCTGCTAGCTAGGGATCATGGGAGTTGTAGTCCCAAAACATCTGGAGGGCCAAGGTTGAGGAAGCCTGCTCTAATGTCTTTCACTGTTGAGACAGATACATAGCTAATGGCCAAGGACAACAGGAGTTAAAGGTCAAAATCTGGGGTGCCACAGTTCCCCATTCATGTGTTGGCTAATGTGCTGCAGCAGGGGGCATCATGAAAAGTGCCTAGTGTGGATATTCAATGGAGTGCCCTGTACTTGCTTTTAGGCTCCAAGTTCCCACCATCTCTGAGCTCTGGCCATATTAGCTGGGGCTGCCAGGAGCTGAAGTCCCATAACATCTGACTGCCCCCCACAAAGACTACCCCTGCGATACTGACAGCTACAGGGTTAGACTGCAAAAGAGGACATCGCCCCGGCACTTTTAGTCATGGTGCACACAAGGGGATTTCAGCTCTTCTTTCCCTAACAGGCTGCATAAATACTACAATGCGGTAAGTTTTGACCTCCTAATATTCCTTTTCTTCCATTCAGACATTACAGGTTCAGGGGCCCCATCCTCCTTTTGCATTGGTACATCCAGAGACAAGGGCTGGGTGTGGGTAGAGAGGATCAGGTGGAGGATAACCAACCCGTCCGTTTAGGGGTTCCAACCAATGTGTTTCACTACAGAGAGCTACAGGGATCAGCATCTGAACCATTGCAGAGATCACCCGGCTTGAAAGTAATCAAGGCCATCAGGCAGAAAGAGCTTCTCTGTAAAAGCAAACTCATTGTGCAATCCTATACCCAGGACTTATGTTAAGGAGGGCGGGACACGCAGCTGTTTTCCTCCTCTGGCTCTGTCTAGCACAGGGGTCACCAAAGTGTATCTTGCCTGGGCCGGATCGGTCCTGCGGGGATCCCTCCGTGGGCTGGATTGCGTGCACCCGCGATTTTAGCACAGCACACGAGCGGGCAACTTGGTTGGGGGCGACTCGTGGGCCAGTTCCGGCCCATGGGCCTTAGAAGAAGAGTTTGGATTTGATATCCCACTTTATCACTACCCTAAGGACGTGGGTGGCGCTGTGGGTTAAACCACAGAGCCTAGGACTTGCCAATCAGAAGGTCGGCAGTTCGAATCCCCACAATAGTGTGAGCTCCCGTTGCTCGGTCCCTGCTCCTGCCAACCTAGCACTTCGAAATCACGTCAAAGTGCAAATAGATAAATAGGTACCGTTCCGGTGGGAAGGTAAACGGCGTTTCCGTGCGCTGCTCTGGTTCGCCAGAAGCGGCTTAGTCATGCTGGCCACATGACCCGGAAGCTGTACACCGGCTCCCTCGGCCAATAAAGCGAGATGAGCGCCGCAACCCCAGAGTCAGTCACGACTGGACCTAATGGTCAGGGGTCCCTTTACCTTTACCTTTTTAAGGAGTCTCAAAGCGGCTAACGTTCTCCTTTCCCTTCCTCCCCCACAACAAACACTCTGTGAGGTGAGTGGGGCTGAGAGACTTCAGAGAAGTGTGACTAGCCCAAGGTCACCCAGCAGCTGCATGTGGAGGAGCGGAGACGCAAACCCGGTTCCCCAGATTACGAGTCTACTGCTCTTAACCACTTCACCACACTGGCTGACCCCAGGTCTAGCAGATTTGGGATGGAATGTCTTAACAACAGTTGTTTTAAATTACTTTCTTTTGACCCCAAGTGCTCGGAAAAATCTGTCAAAATCTCTACTTTTAGCTAAGTATTTTTATTTATTTTCTTGATGGGGGGGGCAGCTGCCCCCACCTTTGGCTACACCTATGATCCTATAATCAGAAGCAAACCCCACTGAATCCGACAGGTATCACTCCCAGCGTACAGGGTTGCGGCGGCGGGCAGGGGAATGCAACCCAGAAGCAAATTCCTTAAGATATCAGCATGGGCGGGGCAGGGGGGTGGAGAGTGCAGCTGCCCTCCCCCTAAATCAAGTAAATAAAAATGCTTAACTAACTGCCCAATTGCATTGCAGATAATTTGGTTCTGCCTCCCCAACAGAAACCCTGCCCGCCCCCCATAAAAATAAATCCTGGCTATGCCCATGGATACGAGGGGACCCTGCTTCCAAAGAGATGTAAGCAGCTGGGAAACAATAAGTAAGCGTGCATTTACAGTTCAGTTTAATTGCGAATAATAACAACAAATATTCATACCCCAGCCGCTCTGGGCGGCTCCCAACAGAATATTAAAAACGCGATAAAACATCAACCATTAAAAACTTCCCCAAACAGGGTTGCCTTCGGATGTCTTCTAGAAGTCAGATAGTGGTTTATGTCCTCTAGTAAGAGCTTAAAACAACACACACGAAAAAGCCAGGCACTCAGCTGGAGGTCAGTTCCCCTCAAAACTCACCTGAGCCCAAAGTGGCCAGAAAAAACAGCGCGATCGCCTGCGGCAGTTTCAGCAACATCTCTGCTCTTGCCCCGCGATTTCCTGGCTAGCGGTCATATGACTCTGCCTGCTTGTCAGCTGTTTCTGCGAGAGGGAAGTGCGCCTTTTTATTTAAGGGAACCGGGCGGGCGGCAGAGCCGGGTAAGAGCCGCCCCCTTTCCGCCTTAGCCGGGGAAGTGCAGCCGACGATTGATTTCCACTTGCCAGTTCCTGCGAGCTTTGCGCGTTTGCACCGTGGGTGGGGCGAGCGTTTTGACACTCCGCGGGAAGATGGATGAGGGACACTTCGTTTCGGCGCCAGCAAGTTTGCGCGGAGGAATGCCAGCAGCACGCTGTCAAACATGCAGGTGCTTAATTACGTCGGGAGCAATTTGGTTATGCAAATGAGAGAGCTGAGGATCTGCTGGGTTTCGCACCCGATCGTGCTGCAGTACCAGTTTCCTGCGTGGCTGACGCAGCTGGTTTTGCCTAATCCGTTTCGCTCCTTTGCTCTCTGTTTTGTTTTTGTTTGTTTTTTTGTTTGTATAATTTTCATTAAGTTTTTCAGTTTTACATTTTAGAATATACATTTAAACCACCTTAAAATTATCAATGACTTCTTTTCTTTCCATGGTTCATTTTGCATGCCATAAATCCCTGCATGTTTCACATAAACTAAATCATTTGGTACAGTATTCCATTCTTACATCCATCAAAACTTATCTACACAGTTGAATTTATCTTAACGCTGCCAACGTTTTCAAGTGCACACAGTTTTCACCCATATATTCAATAAACATTTTCCAATCTCCTTTAAATGTATGTTCCACTTGTTCTCTTATTCTTTATGTTAAGTCTGCAAGCTGTGCATATTCCTTCAGTTTAAGTTGACATTCTTCTTTAGTTGGGACCTCGCTCGTTTCCCATTTTTGGGCTAACAAAACACGGGCTGCAGTAGTAGCATACATAAACAGTCTTTTTTGACCCCTGGGAATTTCCATCTGGATTATCCCCAACTAAAAGGACTCTGGGTTTTTTGGGAAAGTACTTTTAAACATTTTTTTCAATTCATTATAAATTATTTCCCAATACTCTTTTGCCCTTTTACAAGTCCACCAACCTTTGCTCTCTGTTTTGATCCTCAAGAACCATTCAGTGTTTGAATCTGAAATAGTTCAGGCCATTGCTGACCCAGCCTGGATAGCTGAGTTGGTTAGAGCGTGGTGCTGATAATGCCAAGGTTGCAGGTTTGATCCCCGTATGGGAAAGCTGCATATTCCTGCATTGCAGGTGGTTGGGCTAGAAGATGATCTTCATTCAACTCTACAATTCTATGATTCTATTTTGCGAGAGTGTTATAAATGTGGTATGGTGCCCTGGCAGCATGAACACTTTCTTGCGGCTGGAATATGGCCCAGGTGGGGTTGGCCAAAAGGGGGTTGGACTGGATGACCCCTGTGGTCCAACTCTATAGTTCTAAGAAAAAGGGACGCAGGTGGCGCTGTGGTCTAAACCACTGAGCCTCTTGGGCTTGCCAATCAGAAGGCTGGAGGTTCGAATCCCTGCAACGGGCTGAGCTCCTGTTGCTCTGTCCCAGCTCCTGCCAACCTAGCAGTTCGAAAGCACACCAGCGCAAGTAGATAAATAGGTACCACTGCGACGGGAAGGTAAACGGCGTTTCCGTGCGCTGCTCTGGTTTGCCAGAAGTGGCTTAGTCATGCTGGCCACATGACCCCGAAGCTGTACACCGGCTCCCTCGGCCAATAAAGCGAGATGAGCGCCGCAACCCCAGAGTCGGCCACGACTGGACCTAATGGTCAGGGGTCCCTTTATCTTTGAGGGGGGAAAGGCCCATATCTCTGCCTAGGATTAAGGAGTTCTGTTTGCATGTTTTCTACATGCCACAAACTCCTTTTTTCCAAACATGCTGCAGATAGTCTGTACAAGGTTCTAACTGTCTCTTATGTTCACTTTTTTCTTTACATGCTTTTGTGATATGGTGAGCCAGCACGTTCCTTGCATAGATGCTGGCCTTGGCATGCCGACACTAGCATTATGAGAAGCCATCAGTTTAAATCCATTAATTCTTAGGGTTTGCACATTTTAACCTGCCTGTGCCTTTAACAGCAGCTTGGTGTGCGCCGACATTAGAAAAAAAAGGCTGTGCTTAACCTGTTAATTTCTGTTTGCAACAGGGGTTGTTAAACATGCAGGAATTAACCAGGGTTTCTCTCCCGCCCCCGGTCAGCTGACAACCAAAGGCATTGCCATAAATCCTTCAGAAGAAATTATTGTTATTAGTAGTATTTTATTTTTACCTGGCCCATGTGCTCTGAGTGAACAGCAGCAGTTACTTTGCAAAGTTGTTCCAGTAAAACTTGGCATGGAAAGCAAAACTATTTAAAAGCTCTGGGAGAGCTCTTTGGTTAATTAAAAAAGGATCTGGATTGCATCCTTACAATGCAAAACCTACAACGCTGCTTCTCTGTCCCGGACCAACACACAACCACAACAACAACACCACACATAAAGCACAAGCCAGCTGTTTCAGCCACTTTCCAGAGAAACCAGGAGACAATCTTCAGCCTGGATGGAGAATAATGGGATTATTTGCTCCTGCAAACTGCATAATTATGCAAACAGACAAACTTTCCTTAAACCGTGAAGGGTCTGTAGCTACTCTTATAATGCTTGCTGCTCTGGGTTGCTTTCCGTTTCATATTCATGAGAACTACTACCTTAGCTGCAACCAGTTATGGAGAACTTTGGTGCTTCCTAGTTTTGAGTCATGAACATTGCAACTAATTGGTTTTATTGGATGAGCAAAACGAGGCCTTCAGTTTACTCTTCCATTTAGCATTCCACTTATAAGCTGGTTTCTCATGTGGCAAAGCCATGAAACATTGAGCTATTGGGGTGAAAATTGGTATACACATTCAGGGCACCGTTCTATGTTTTAGGTTGGACTACCAGCTCTTGCCCCTCAACCCATTTTCAATTGCAAATACAACATAATGGGATATGAACCCAGAAACATCGGAGCAAAAGTCGCAGTGAATATTCAGGTGCGCATTCTGCATTTGAAGGACAAAGGTGAATTTCAGCTCAAACCCTTGCACTCCTTTTCAGGGGGGAAAAGGCAGACACAACACAATGCAACATCTGTCTTGTAGGGTTGTGGTTTTTTGTTTGTCTTTTAAGGAAAAATCCCTAAATAAATGTTTTGCTTCCTAAACAAGCTTCTTTCTTTTTGGAGATCACTAGTAGCTGAGTAAGATTATCTTCCATGAACACGGTCTTAACAGTGAGTCCGTAAGTGACAGTGGAGGCCAATTCTGGATCCACACGTCCTTCCACAGTGGGAACATAAGTTTCTGGGCGGGAGTTGATCATGATGAGGGTTTGCCAAGTGTGCCTTCCTCTTAGCATGTTTCTCCCTTTCGTCCTGAGTTTGAGAGTCTTCAAAGTACACAACACCTTTGGTAAAGGCTGTTCTCCAGTTGGAGCGCTCGCAGGCCAGTGCTTCCCAGTTGTCGGTGTTTATACTTTTTTTTTTTTAGATTTGCCTTGAGAGAGTCTTTAAACCCTCCCACCAGATGCCAAGGAAATAAACAACTATCTGACTCTTAGAAGACATCTGATGGCAACCCTGTTTAGGGAAGTTTTTAACGTCTGATATTTTATTGTGTTTTTAATATTCTGTTGAGAGCCACCCAGAGTGGCTGGGGAAACCCAGCCAGATGGGGTGGGTATAAATAAATAAATAAAACAAGCACAGCGTCGATTGCACGGTCGCCGGGTTTTACCCCTTCCCAGCGTCCCGGCGATCTTGCCTAAGACTGCATTTGCAATTGATATCCAGTCCTCTTTTTTTGTTTGTTTGCTAATGCACTTAGGAAATGGATTCCCCCCCCCCCCCCATGGAAACATAAAGTGCTGGGGGAAATCTTAATTTTTAAAAAATGTCCACCTCTTTCTCTCACACGCATCTATGTGAAAGGTTGTGATTCTTACTATTTATTCAATGAATAGGACGCATGCTGCTTGCAACTTTTGAAAGCGATAAAGCGTAATGTGAAATCAGAAAAAGAACGGCGTGCTCCGGCAATAGCTTCCTCCCTTTTCGTCCCTCGCGGGGCGCCGTAGCGGAGCCTCCTCCCACTCTCCCTTTCCCCGACCTTCCTCTCCCGCCCTCACCAAGATGGCGGCGGCCAGCGGCGGCTGCGAGGCCCCCGTGCGCCTCCGGCTGCTCTTCGACTACCCTCCCCCGGGGACGCCGGCCTGCGGGCTGTGCTGGCTGCTCCTGGAGCCCCGCCAGGTGCGCCTCGTCACCGACCTGAGCAGCCTCGTCCGGGACAAGTTCGGCTTCAGCCGCCGCGCCAAGCTCAGCCTCTTCCTCGACGGCGCGCTGCTGCCGCCCACCGAGAGCGCCAGGATCGTGAGGGACAACGACTCTCTCCGGTGGGGCTGAGAGGGGCGCTCGGGGGGTGGGAAAGAAAGAGGGCTGGGTCGGGGGGGGGAGTGAGAGTCGCCCTCGCGCCCCCCAACCCGCCCCACTTTGAACGAACCAGCAGGTGGCTTATGTTTAGGGGCAGCCTTTCCCAACCTGTGGGTCCCCAGATGTTGTTGGACTACAACTCCCATCACCCTTAGCTAGCAAGGCCAGAGCTCAGGGATGATGGGAGTTGTAGTCCAACAACCTCTGGGGACCTACAGATTGAGAACTGCTGGGGGGGGGGGGTGTTCCCCGCCCCTTTGTTCTGGCAAAATACAGGACAATTGGGGGTGGGTGGTAGGACTCTGCCCCCCAATCTGGAGCTCAGAAGGTATTATTATTATTATTATTGTTTTATTATTTGAGTTTGTAGACCGCTCTATACCCGGAGGTATCAGGGTGGTTCACAGGAAAGATCATTACATATATACAGTGGTACCTCGGGTTACATATGCTTCAGGTTACAGACTCCGCTAACCCAGAAATAGTACCTCAGGTTGAGAACTTTGCTTCAGGATGAGAACAGAAATGGTGCTCCGGTGGCGCGGCAGCAGCAGGAAGCCCCATTAGCTAAAGTGGTGCTTCAGGTTAAGAACAGTTTCAGGTTAAGAACGGACCTCCGGAACAAATTAAGTACTTAACCCGAGGTACCACTGTAATCAGAATAAAAAGAGCAACCCAATATCAACCCCACCCTCACCCCAAAAAGAGCCACATTTTAAAAGAGTATAGAATGTCAAACAGATCAACCAAAGGCCTGGTTAAAAAGGAACGGTAGAGGCAAAATACATTCCAAGGTATGAACTCCAGGTTACAGATAGCTTTTACACATACGCACTATGCCAGGCATAGCCAAACTTGGCCCTCCAGAGGTTTTGGGACTACAACTCCCATCATCCCTAGCTAACATAAGGTTACCAGTTGTCCACGTTTCCTGGGGACAGTCCCCGTTTCTACAAATCAATCCCCATACAAAATCCATTGAAGTTGAAAAGTGCCCCTGGATTCATTGAAAAAAATCTGGTAACCTTAAGCTAACAGGACCAGTGGTCAGGGATGATGGGAATTGTTGTCCCCAGACATCTGGAGGGCCACGTTTGGCCATGCCTGCACTATGCATACTGTTGCTAGCTAAAAGTTATTATTTATCGAGTTTCTATACCACCAATCCCTGGAGGTCTCAGGACAGTTCACAGAAAAGATCACAACATATATAATCAGAATAAAAAGAGCAACCCAATTAAAAAAACCTCAGAAAAGAGCCACATTTTAAAAGGGTATAGGATGCCAAACAGATCGACCAAAGGCTTGGTTAAAAAGGAACATGAAACACACACTGCAAACAGGTTGTTCAACTGAAATCCCTAAGATTTCTTTGCCAGTGTAGGATTAAAGTTTGGCACGAATGGATGTTTTTAGAGTAACAATGTATAAATGATGCCATGATCATAACAAAACTTTCTCTTGCATGATATCCCGACAGAGTCAAATTGGAGGAAGTTATCGAGGAAGAAGATAATGATAAAATTGCCAACGGTTTTAGTAACCAATCAAAAAAACGAAGGAAACGACGCCGGCAGAAGTTGGAAGTGAAAGATTCTGACAGCGAAGATGAAGGTCACAGGAAAAGAAAGAAGGGCAAATGGAACTGTGAGCGTCTTTCTTGTCAGGAAGAGAGCGCTGCAAACATTCAGGACCCAAAGGCCCTTAAGAAAAGGAAAAACGCAATCGGAAGATCATCTGCCACAGACAGTGGGAGCGATGATAGTACTTGCCATTCCAAGAAGCTTAAAAAAAAAGTTGACCGGGAAAAAGAGCAGGGGGCAGCTAGAGATAAAAAGAAAAGGAGAAAAGAAAAAGCCATAGAAATAAATAACACTTCACAAAAGACCAACAAGACTTTTTCTTTGATCCCCAGCCAAAAAAGTGCAGCGAAAACCCCAGTAGGACAGTCCGGCACAAAGAAACGTGAAACCTCAAGCGACTCCTCCACTTCATCAAGCGAGAGTGACCACAATATAGCAGATGCAAAACGAAAACACTCGCATCAAACTAAGGTGGCATCACAGCACGTAAACAAACCACAACAGGCTTCTTCTGCGAAATCGGCTGGTAAAGTTGCCACTAAACAGAAAGGCAGTGATCATCCCAAGGCAGCATGTAGTAAAAAAGCCAAGAGTCCGTCCTCAAGTTCAGATTCAGATTCTACTTCAGGAGAGCAGGAGGAGCAGAAGAGCAATAACTTGAAAAGTAAGCCGCCATATAATAGCCAAGGAACTGTGGGAGGCCCAGCTTCAAGGAGCAAACCTAAAAGCTCCTCTTCAGAATCTGATAGCTCAGACTCGGAGGCTTGCACTGCTAAGAAACCCAAGACAAATTCTGCAGTCAGTCAGGCGTTGGGAGGGAATGGCGGGAAACAGCTGCCAGCTGTCACTTGTGGACCAGAAATAAGTCCCAGCGACAGCAGGCGAGGTCGTGGCAGAGGAGAAAACCCCTTTTGGAGAGGGCCTAGGGTCCGTGGATGTCGTGGGATGATGAGGGGCCGGGGAAGAGGAAGGGGAGAGAATCTTAACTTCTTCCACAATTACAACGGTGAGCAGCAAAAGCAGCAACAGTTGCACGAAGTAGCAACAAACTCTTCAGTTATTATACAGGTGAGTCTGCTGGCGACTGCCTGCTTTAGTCTCCATTAACATTAAATAAGTTGGAGTTATTGTTATTAAATATACCAAGAAAAAAGCACACCAAGAACTCAGGCCAATGTAAGTTTCAATAGTGGGATTGGTCCCTACTCACAAATCAATAGTCAATAGTAACAAAAACTAATCCATTCAAACGTATGTATTCTGACAAGGATTACAAACTCTAATAGAGATTACAAACCCAAACTCATAAAGACAGGGATAACACAATAATTCGTTACAAAGATTTTCTCTTTTTCACTTGACAGTAATGTTGATCCTTATAATTTGTCAGCTTGCAATGAAGACTCAGTTTCAATCATAGAGCAGAAGTCAGAAGTCAATTATGGATTAGAAACCAAGACAGGGCCCTGTTTCGATGTATTCACCTTCATCAGCTGGAAGTATCAAATATTACATGAAAATACATTTTAATTCTAAATTATCATAAATTATAAAACAGTATTATGTACCATTTGGTTCCTTACCTAATTTTTGAAGGCTCGTGTAAGTTTGAAGACTTTCAGATAAATATATCCTGTTATTTTCTATGTTTCTCAAGGATAACAACTGAAAATAATATTAATAATAATAATTACATGCGTTGAATCAAATTAAAAACTCTAAGGCAGCATATAATCATATGATTCCTCACCTACATGTGGGTAGATCAACGTGTATCTTGAGCTGTTCTCGATGGAACACTGTTTGATAACTCACAAAATTAAAAGAAAAACTGGTGTAAAGCAAAGCGTGTAACTGTTAGTGTGATCGTGATGACCCTGCCTACACCCTAAATTACGTACAAAATAGTAGCCCACAACTGAGCATTGTGGGTGAAGAAATCCAGTGCTGCCGTTCTGCTTGCAGAAAGGGTTTAGCTTAAGAGAATGGGAGATGGTTTTTTGCTGATTTTCTACTGTAGTCCCCTGGAAATCTGTTCCAGGGAGTTGAGGTACTCTTCAGGGCAGCATGGAAGGAGGTGCTGGGGGAAGGGGGAATTGGAAAAAGGGATATAAAATATTATTATTATTATTATTATTATTATTATTAATTAACTACCCTTCACCATAAGGTCCCTGGTAAAGCAATTTAAAATCAGAAGAATAGAGTGGACCTAAACGTGTACCTTGGGTGTCAAAAACCAAGATGAAGAGGTGTGTCTTTAGCATATGATGAAAATCATACAGTGAAAGTAAAATACACATCTGTGGGAAGGGAATTCCACAACTTAGGGGCTGCCACAGATATTGCCCTTTTCCAGATCTCCCCCCAAAACTTCTGAGGGCAGTGGCTTCCCCTCTACTGATCTTAAGACCTGAAGGTTATAGAGAAAGAAAACATTTTCCAGATGTTAGCAGACACTTCCACGACCTCAGAAAACTTTCAGCAATTGGAACAGCAGCATTGGGTTTCATATTTTGTTGCCTGCAGAGGAAATATAGATACCTCTGAAACCTGACGAGCAGGACATGAAGGTGGTGGCTTTCCATACCTGGTTGTTCCCAATATCTGGAACCCAGGTAGAGTGCATCTGCATGTGGAAGTTCTCTCATTGCCTCTGGCTTTTCCTGCAATTTTCCCCTGCCGTCTTTTGCCCTCTATATCACATTAATGCTCTTTACTGGGTTTGATTGTGGATGATAATGTTTTTAATCATTGTTTCACAGAATCCACCAGAAGCTCCTAAGAAGGACTATAGCATATTGCCTCTGTTAGCTGCTCCTCCACAAGTAGGAGAGAAAATTGCCTTTAAGGTATGAAATCTCAAAACATTTTTGTTCCTCGCTTCTTGCTTAGATAATTTTTATCCTGCTCTTCCGTCATCTTGCAAGCTGTATGGAGGGAAGACACTAGTAACATTGGCAGGAATTTGAGGGCTGGAGTCAAGACTTCTTATGATGAGTGTGTTAGCACATTCTGTTGGGTGAGGTAGACTAAAAAATACACACTTGTAGTGTTAACGTAGTTCTGGCATGAAGTCTTTAACTCCTCAAGCATCTGTTTTAGGTGGCTATGATTCTTGAAAGGTCATATTCTCGCCTATTTGCATATATACTTGGGTGGATTAAATTGTTTCTTGCACTCTGTTAACCTTGCTGGAAAAAAGGAGTGCAATACATAATAAGAACTGCAAACAGAAGTCTGAGAAGACTGCACAAATACTTAGGTAAATTACTTAAATTAAAAATGTGTATTTAAACTGAAAATACAAACCCTAGGAAGATACCGGCTGGCTAAAAAGAAAAGAAACTTTGTCTCTCTAACAGTTGTTAAATGGTGAGCAACCACCATTGTTGATGATGCTTTCAACATAATTTCTCCTTCAGGCTCAAAATCGGATTAAAGATAATAATAAGAATAATTTATTATTTATACCCCACCCAGTCACTCTGGGCAGCTCCCAACATCATCATCATCATCATCATAATGTGATCAAACATTAAAAACGTCCCTAAACAGGGCTGCCTTCAGATGTCTTCTAAAAGTCAGATAGTTGTTTATTTCCTTGACATCTGATGGGAGGGCGTTCTATAGGAAGGGTGCCACTACCGAGAAGGCCTTCTGCCTGGTTCCCTGTAACCTCATTTCTCGCAGGGAGGGAACTGCCAGAAGGCCCTCGGAGCTGGACCTCAGTGTCTGGGCTGAACGATGGGGGTGGAGACGCTCCTTCAGGTATACTGGACCGAGGCCGTTTAGGGCTTTAAAGGTCAGCACCAACACTTTGAATTGTGCTCGGAAACATACTGGGAGCCAATGTTGGTCTTCCAGGACCGGTGTTATATGGTCTTGGCAGCCACTCAATAGGTGCATCAGTAGGTGGTTCCTGCGGGGACTAGTAGGGCAGCTACTCTATCAGAGATGTTACCAGAGAAGGAGAGTCAGATGGAGACCTCATCATCATCCACGAACAGGCACATCCAAGTAGAAACCATTCAGAGCTGTCTTATGTGAAGTCAGGCAACATGTCCGCCCAGCCCGCTATTGTTTGCTCTGGTTATTGTCCACAGTTCTAGACTTGAGGAAGAAACTTCTCCAGCCTTGCAACTTTTAAATGCTAGGGACTGAACCTGGGACGTGATTACTTGTGAATAGGGACCAGAGTTCCTACTATTCTGACATCTAGATCAGCTGATGTGCCCCCTTCCTCAGTTTAGATAAATTAATGCATCAATGTGTGTGTGGTTCCTGCCCCCCGGAAAAATCCAATTTAGATTTATATTGTTCTCTCACTTAGAGTGTTTGTTGTGGGGGAGGAAGGGAAAGGAGAATGTTAGCCGCTTTGAGACTCCTTCGGGTAGTAAATAATAATAATAATAATAATAATAATAATAATAATAATAATAATTTTTATTTATACCCCGCCCTCCCCAGCCAAGGCCGGGCTCAGGGCGGCTAACAAGCAATAATAAAAACAAGTTGAATGACTACAACTTAAAAATAAGATTAAAATACAACATTAAAATATTGAAACTTTAAAATACTAAAATGCAGCCTCATCACAGGAGGAGAAAGGAAAAAAAGGAAGAGGGGGAGGGAATCAAATTGGCTCCAAGCCATAGGCCAGGCGGAACAACTCTGTCTTACAGGCCCTGCGGAAAGAAATCAGATCCTGCAGGGCCCTGGTCTCATGAGGCAGAGCGTTCCACCAGGCTGGAGCCAGTGTTGAAAAGGCCCTGGCTCTGGTTGAAGCTAATCTAACTTCCTTAGGGCCTGGGACCACTAGGGTGTTGCAATTTATGGACCTTGAGGCTCTCCGTGGGGCATATTGGGAGAGGCGGTCTCGTAGGTACAAGGGTCCTAGGCCATGAAGGGCTTTAAAGGTCAAAAGCAGCACCTTAAATCTGACCCTGTACTCCACCAGGAGCCAGTACAGCTGGAAAAGCACTGGGTGAATATGCTCCCATGGCAGAGACCCCGTGAGGAGCCTCGCTGCAGCATTCTGCACCCGCTGGAGAAGAAAGAAAAAATACATCAAAGAAATAAAATAAAATAAAATAAAAAGATTGACTTCCTTTGACCACTATATGGTTCCTATAATCTCATATCTTGGTTGTCTATAATCATTTTACACATTTTGGAGAGACAATTTGTTTACCTGTGGAGTTTTTAATCTAGGCTAAGCCAATCATAATTATGGGAACTTGCTTTTCTCATATAATTTGCAAAGACATCCCATTCTGATTTTTCCACTTGGTTGGTTTCTTACTAATTCTGTTAGTCTTACTAGTTTGAGATACTCACTTAATTTTAATAACCATTCTACTTTTGTTGGAATTGTGTTGCTTTTCCAGAAAAGGAAAAGGATTACCAGCTTGTCTCATGCTTTCTGTTTGATCTTCTTTCAACAGCTTTTGGAGCTAACTGAAAATTACACTCCTGAAGTATCTGATTATAAGGTATTGAGACTGACTACTGTTCGTTGTGTTTTGATGGTATTTTTTTTTTTAGCTAGATTGCATCTTGGCCTTTTAATATTGCCATTTCTCATTGTTTATTCTAATAACGGTTAAGAACATGAGACACATCAGAAGGTTGCATAGTTCAAATTTGGATTCACCAAGCTCTTAGAATCATAGAGTGGAAGGGAACTATCCCAAGAAAATCCACTACATAGTAAAGGTAAAGGGACCCCTGACCATTAGGTCCAGTCGTGACCGACTCTGGGGTTGCGGCACTCAACTCACTTTATTGGCCGAGGGAGCCGGCGTACAGCTTTCTGGTCATGTGGCCAGCATGACTAAGCCGCTTCTGGCGAACTAGAGCAGCGCACAGAAACACCGTTTACCTTCCCCCCAGAGCGGTACCTATTTATCTGCTTGCACTTTGACGTGCTTTTGAACTGCTAGGTTGGCAGGAGCAGGAACTGAGCAACAGGAGCTCACCTCGTTGTGGGGATTTGAACTGCCGACCTGATCGGCAAGTCCTAGGCTCTGTGGTTTAACCCACAGCGCCACCCACGTCCCTTTTATAGTATCATACGTTTAATGCCCAGGAGCAAAGGGAAAGAGAGAAACATGCACTGCTAACTTCTTGCCAGTGGGGGAGCCTTCATCTTCCGAATGAGCTTCTGTTTTGTGTGGCTTAATAAAATAAATGAACATTCCACGAACTTTGTCTGTATACATTCGCTAAGAATTCGTCAGTATGCAGGAAAGAATCCAGATTATTTGTTTCATTTTTATATCACCTGTTACTCCGTGGAGCTTAAGGCAACACGGATGATTCTCCCCTCCCCATTTTATCCTCACAACAACATTGAGAGGTAGGATAGTCTGGAAGACGGTGACTGTCCCAAGGTCACCCAGGGAGCTCCATGGCTTAGTGGGGATTCAAGCCCTGGTCTCCCAGGTCATAGGCCAACGTTCTATAACCATTGTACCATACAGTCTCATAGTACATACCAGGGTTTCCCAAACTTAGATCTCCAGCTGTTTTTGGACTACAATTTCCATCGTCCCTGGCCACTTGTCCTGCTAGCTCAGGGTGATGGGAGTTGTAGTCCAAAAACAGCTGGGGACCCAAGTTTGAGAAACCCTGGTGTACAGCAAGAAGCCTGTGCAGGTGGGTATTCACTTACTTAGGAAAAAGTAAAGGAGCGTTCTCAGCACCTGTTGGGGTGGGGAATGCTCTGGAATGACCCCATTTTCTTGACAGGGAGCAGTTTCTTCCATAAGAGGAGTTTAGAATTTGAAGCTGCTTCTGTGCTGGTCCTGGCTTCTGATTCAATTCTTGAGTGTGAAATTGTTAATTCACACATACACATACTGCATTCCTTTGTGAGGATCTCTGCCTATGAAGATTAAACCACCCAAGGTTAAAGGAGAAAAATCAGGTTTTGCCCTTGCTACAGCAGTGTCTTTTCAGTTCAAAGGTTATTTCCCCCCATAGGAACAAATGGTACTAATTCGCTGCACATGCGATAGACAAAGGAGGATCAGGCATGGACTAATGCTGCTCTGTCTCTGTTGAGCCTGCTACTGAGAATCAAGCCTGCTCTTATCTTTAGCCCCGTCCATGAGTTCTGTTCCTGGGTCACCCTTGAGTGTGACGGAACATTCAGAACTGACTTGTGTATATAATGGCATTCTAATGATTTATGCCGATCTATTGCAATTTGTGGGACGCGGGTGGCGCTGTGGGTTAAACCACAGAGCCTAGGACTTGCCGATCAGAAGGTAGGCAGTTTGAATCCTCACGACGGGGTGAGCTCCCGTTGCTCTGTCCCAGCTCCTGCCAACCTAGCAGTTCGAAAGCACGTCAAAGTGCAAGTAGATAAATAGGTACCACTCTGGCAGGAAGGTAAACGGCATTTCCGTGCGCTGCTCTGGTTTGCCAGAAGCAGTTTAGTCATGCTGGCCACATGACCCAGAATCTGTACACCGGCTCCCTCGGCTAATAAAGCGAGATGAGCGCCGCAACCCCAGAGTCGGCCACGATAGGACCTAATGGTCAGGGGTCCCTTTACCTTTACCTTTATTGCAGTTTGTACAGGATTTAAATGTGGGACAGATGACATTTGTCCATTTGTTCTCGACCTAGAATAAACACCGCGTTTCTTCCTTTGTCCTTTTTCTTTTTTCCTTTTCAAGGAAGGAAAAATTGTCAGTTGGAATCCTGCTAACAAACAGCTAGAACTTGAAATTCTTTCTTTCTCATCAGGTAAGAGATACACAGCTTCGGAGTTGAATGTGAATATGGGTTGTATTCAAGCAAGTTCTACTTGGAGTAAACCCACAGAAATTAATGGATAGCTCAGTTGGTTAGAGTGTGGTTCTGATAATGTCAAGGCTGGAGGTTTGATCCCCATATGATACAGCTGCATATTCCTGCATTACGGGGGGTTGGACTAGATGATCCTTAGGGTCCCTTCCAACTCTACAATTCTATGATTCTATGACCCAAGTTAGTCATGTTCATTCATTTCAGTGGTTCTGCTCTCACAACTAATATTGGCTACATCCCAGTATATTTTCTCTCATAAAGGCAGCAACTTCTCTTTTAAAGTTGACTTTTCTTTACTAATTGTACGCCATTCTGCTTTAACTGCATGTTACAGTGCGATTGTTTATGCAGCAGAAATAAGTCCCACTGTGTTAAATGGGACTTACTCCCAGGAAAGTGGTTATAGGATTGCAGCCCCAATTACATAACCACCCTTGCAACTTCCAGTCACATTCTAAGTACCTCCAAACCTTTGTACGAATGTTCTAATTGTATTTGTTGTGGTTTTTGTTTCTTCTAAGTTTCAAAAGAGCCAGGGAAGTTTGATCTGGTTTACCAGTCTGCAGATGGAGCCGAAAGAATAGAATATGCTGTATCTCACGATAGGAAGGTATGGGGGTAGCACTTTCTTGAAATTAATTTGCAGGAGCCTCCTTTAAAATTATTCCAATGACTTTTTATTTCTTACCATGTTCGTAGGGCACATTCCATTCTCTACTTAATTGCAATGTTTCTTTGTGTGGAGGATTCTCAACCCTTTGCACTGCATATTACTTGCCTTATAGGACAGGCTAGAGGAGAGGTGTCCCAGACTGTCCCCCAACTGCCTGTAATATAGCATATGTATGTGCCAAGGTGTGTTCGGGGGAGACATGAGGGAACAGAGCTCTGTTGAGCCCTGCTGGAATTCTCCGTGCTGGAGGGTTTTCATCCACATTGGAAGTATATTCTCCTTACAGAGGAGGCCTAGGACCCAGGTACCTACGGGACTGCCTCTCCTGGTATGCCCCGCGGAGGACCTTAAGGTCCACAAATAACAACATTTTGGAGGTCCCAAGTCGCAAGGTGGTTAGATTAGTCTTAACTAGGGCCAGGGCCTTTTCAGTACTGGCCCCAAGTTGGTGGAACACTCTGTCACAACAGACTAGGGTCCTGTGGGACTTGACATCTTTCCGCAGGGCCTGCAAGACAGAGCTGTTCCGCCTGGCCTTTGGTTTGGACTCAGTCTGACCCTTATGTTTCCCTCCCCTTATGGTTTTGATCTATGGGCTACTTTTAAAATGAGGCTGCATTTTAAATTGCATTTTAACCTGTATCTTAAATTGGTCCCCCCCCCCATTATGTTTTTACTGTAATTTACTGGTGTTAGCCGCCCTGAGCCCGGCTCTGGCGGGGGAGGGTGGGGTATAAATAAAAATTATTATTATTATTATTATTATTATTATTATTATTATGTGTTCGAAGGGCAATATCCAAATAATTTGGGGCAGCGTTCAACTAACTAGTCCTTTTAGTGCAAAGATTACCACTAGTGCAAGGAGACTTTTCTGTGCCCTCAGCAAATCTGCTCTGGAAATTTGGGGAAACCCTTGCAACATATTTAGGGGAGGAGAAGGGAAAAGATGACGTTGCACAAGGAGAAATCCTCACGCCTACGGAACAATTGTATTAGTGCTATGTTGAATGCAACCCTCATACTCAAAGCGGAACAAATGAAACCAGTCCATTGGTTTCACTGGTTCTTTCTTTTTAAAATGATATTTATTGAAAAAAGAATTTTTTAAAAAAAAAATTACAAAGAAAAAAGACAAAAACAGAAAAATAAAAAATAAAACCATCATTTTCAAATTCTCCACTTTCATTACCTTCTTTCCATGACTACCTCCTCCTCCCATCTCTTGTATCTTGATTAATAATTGTCACAGCAAATCCTTTCCATAATTCATAATATTCTGTCATTACATTACCTTACTCTATTTTCATCTTATCTTATAAAAAAACCTTAAAACTTAAGACTTAGATCTTATTTTTACCAACTTCTCATAACCATTACCTTTTTTACCTAATTCTTTAAACATTTTTACAAGAGCCAAGTAATTTCATTTCAACATTTTTCCAACGTTCATCAATTTTATAAAACATTTCTAATGATAAAAAAAAAGAAATAAAAACCATCCAATCTTCTTCCAGCGTCCCCTCCCCCCGGTCCCGGGATTGTCAGTCCTTTTTATCCCATTAGTCTGGCACATTAACCTGGTGATCTTATATCCGAGGCCTTCGAATCGCTTCCATGTCCCTTCCGCAGCTCTTCTTCATATTTTCCTTTCACTCGTGGGAACTCCAGCTTGGTAGTGTTTTTGACCCTTTTCAACAAATCAGCCCCTTTCCCATAGTCCAGGCTAGACTCCATGTGGTATTTTAAGACATGTTTCAAATTCCCTCCAAAATTGGAAGTCCCAACAGCTCCAAACCTCTGACGGCCCATTGCCAGACTCGGAAAGTCCAAACATCCCTGCATAGGGGGGTTAGTCCAACCCCCCATTTCCAAATCAATCCAAACTTTGTCTTTCCAAATCTGGTTTTTTCCAAGTTCATTTGTCAAATCCAAAGGCTCATTTTCCTGCTGGGTCAAAAGTCCCTCCATCTCTGGCGCCCAAGATTCTGCAACATCCTCTTCTCTCATCTGCTCTGTCAGGACACACTCCTGTTTAATTTCCTGGGTGGGCTCCATATAGTTTCCCACTACCTGTTCAAATGTTCTGGCTGCATTAGTCATCAAATCCGTCTTCTGACTTAACTGATCCAATAGGGCATTTATTTTACAGAAAGCACCCAACAGTGCTTCTGAAAACATTGTCCTGCAAGGTCACAAGTCCTTTCCCACGGTTGTAATCTGTGGCAGCTGCAAGCTCCCTAGAATTGGTTACAGTTTCACAGTCCCCCTCTAGGGGGAAAACTTCTGGTTGTTCTTTCTTTTAAGGACAATAGCAACAAAGTTTCTTTTTTTAAAGATATTTTGTCAATATTTGTTCCTTTAAAATGCGAAAGGAAACAGTGGAATCACAATGTTACTCTTCTTTTAACTATCTGTCAAAAACATTTGTTTCTGGTCAATGAGCTTCAAAACGTCAATTCTGACACCCCGCTCCAGGGTCAGGACGGTGGAAAGTTACTTTACTTTAAACTCACTTCTGCAGGTTTAAACAGTCCAAAAAAGATCCCCCTTCTTCTCCTGCTACCGAAGGGGGGTTCAACGATTTTAAATGGTGAAAACCGATCCTTTAAAAGTGATTTTCTAAGCTCTAGTGTACGTTATCTTTGCTTTCTTCTAACTACAAGGAAACAGAAGGCTGACTTCCTGTTTAGACCTTCCCGTTTCAGTACCAAATTAAGGTGAATTTTTAAGTCCAATTCCTTTCTAATCGCCAGTTCTTATTTGAAGTCCAATGGTTCAATGTTTAAGTACTCACAGGTGATTATTTTAGATGCCAAATTGTCCCAGGAAAAAGGCAGCGCTCTCCGGCAACGGCTATGCGGCTTCGCTCCACGGAAAAAGCAGTTGACTCACAGCACCGCGCCACTTCCCCCTCTTCGCTTCGGAGCCCGTTAGTGGGTTCCTTTGTGGGTTGGGGGGGCGCTAAGGGTGCCCGCCGAGTCCCACGGTCACAGGCTTCATCCGCCTGTGATTTCTAAAAGGGTCCCCGCTTCGCCACAGCAGAAAGGACCCGTTTCACGCGGAGCTGGTCCCTCCGGTTCAGAGGGAGTCCGCCATTGCCGATGGCGCCACCCCAGAAGTCCCACTGGTTCTCCTGTTGATTAAGACACTAAATATCACACCAAGAAAATAACTGGTACCAATACAAACTCTTTGTCTAGTTCCCTATTTTTAATATTTATAGAAGTCTGCATTGTTTCAGATGTTGTGTACAAACGAAATACTGCTTAATCAATGCAAGTATACTAAAGTGCTGGCACTTTGTCTACTGTTTTAACTTAGAGCATGCAATCATTTTGACATTATTGCGATAGGAAGAAGCCTAGGTGACCTTTGGGTTTAACACACGCCTTATCCAACGTGGCAACAGGGATGAGATTGGAAGCTTTCGCTTCTGCTTTTAATGAACTGCAGCTTTATGTGTCATTCAGACCTGACAATCTGTTTCCCCCCCTGAATTATTGTTTGCTTGAAACGAGGCAACTTCAAACAAGGTACACGAAGCTGGCTTGTTTCAATAAGTCATAGAGATTAACCACAGGTTGATTGAAAAAATAAGTGAAGGCTTATGATCTCCTGGTGGTCACACGCCATGGGAAGTGGGAGGGAGCCTCAGGCTTGCTTAGACTCATTCCTGCCATGTTTATCATGATGCCTGAATGCAGCCAGGGAGAGAAACTGATTCAGCCTCGAAGCTATCAGACATAGGTCTTGTTCAGCAATTTGTCTCTTGGGCAAGCGTGTGTTAAAATTGATTTTATTATACAAAATAGTTTAATCACGTTAAATTTATTTAAAAGGGTTAATGCTGGTGAAATGGCATGTATCTGATCTGCTCATGTTGAGTCTTACATGCATTTTTCCCCCCTTTAGATAACTGAAAGTTGGGATGCATTGATTGAACCCAGACTAATAGTTGACCCTCCGAATAACGAATCAGGCACGGGAAATGGAAATCCCTAAGCTGTGAAGTTACTCATCTGTAAATAGTCTGTGAAATGCTGTCCTTCTGTTTCTGAAGATAGTGTATGCAAATTGCTGTGTTTTTTTTTCTAAAAAAAATAAAGGATTTCAAAAACTGAAATGAGGTTTAAGAAAAGTTTGTGCCATGGTTCAGGTGCTTGTTCTGAGATGTTTACATTAAGAGCCAAGTATTTTCATAGGGCTATGGAGTCTATTTCAGTGGAGGAACTTGATCTGCTCCCTGCCCTCTCCATTAAAGTGAACAATAGGGAGGCCAACATTTCGTTGGGAGTCTCTCCCATGGGTAAAATAAAAGGGGGAGGAAAGAACTTCTCCAAGATTAGGTAATACAATTGTATTATGAAAGCATGCAAAACATACTTCCTGCAACCTAGCTGCCCATGATGGGTGTAAAAGCTCACAAATGCAAGGGCTTCCTCATTCCTCATTCACGCTGAGCTGTACATGCAGTAAAGGTAAAGGACGCAGGTGGCACTGTGGTCTAAACCACTGAGTCTCTTGGGCTTGCCAATCAGGTTGGCGGTTTGAATCTCCATGACGGGGTGAGCTCCCGTTGCTCGGTCCCTGCTCCTGCCAACCTAGCAGTTCGAAAGCATGCCAGTACCAGTAGATAAATAGGTACCACTGTGGTGGGAAGGTAAACGGCATTTCCATGGGCTCTGGCTTCCATTGCGCCAGAAGCGGTTTAGTCATGCTGACACATGACCCGGAAAACTGTCTGTGGACAAACGCCGGCTCCCTCGGCCTGAAAGCGAGATGAACGTCGCAACCCCATAGTCGCCTTTGACTGGACTTCACCGTCCAGGGGTCCTTTACCTTTTTACCTTTTACATGCAGCAAACTGCCTCACCAAACAAAATTCAGAAATGTGCCTTTCACATAGGTGTACCTTACACAGGTGTGGGGGGGCATTGTGAGTGTGACTCACTTTGGTTATGCATTTAGCATACTGCAAAAATTATGTAAGTGATATTACTGTTTACTGTTTGCAGTGTCATGGATCACCTCCAGCTGAAATTATCAAGAGCACAAGCTGAACTTGCCAGCAAACAGTAGGAGCTGGCGCAGCATCACGAAACCTGCTGCCATGTGCTGAGTCATGAAAGTGTGGCAACCCTACCTTTGGGCTAGGGTTCACCGTTGTTCAAACACTAGGACAGATCATAATTTTAAAAATGCGTCTAAACTTGTGGGACGTGTGCTTCTCTCCACCACTCCCAATTAAACTAACGTCTCATACATATAGCTGTCAACTTTTCCCTTTTCTTGCAAGGAATCCTATTTGGAATAAGGGAATTTCCCTTAAAAAGGGGGGAAATTGACAGCTATGCTCATACATTGTTTTCTCTGCAGATGCATAGGTTGCAAAGGAGCGGGGAAACTCATGGATATCAGCATTTATTTTAGGCATGAATGTCACCTGTGCATTTCGGCAGGTGTCTTATTCATAAGATGCCTGCTTCTTGGGAGAAAAGCAATGACAAACCTAGACAGCATCTTAAAAAGTAGAGACATCACCTTGCCAACAAAGGTCCGTATAGTTAAAGCTGTGGTTTTCCCAGTAGTGATGTATGGAAGTGAGAGCTGGACCATAAAGAAGGCTGATCGCCGAAGAATCGATGCTTTTGAATTATGGTGCTGGAGGAGACTCTTGAGAGTCCCATGGACTGCAAGAAGATCCAACCTCTCCATTCTGAAGGAAATCAGCCCTGAGTGCTCACTGGAAGGACAGATCCTGAAGCTGAGGCTCCAATACTTTGGCCACCTCATGAGAAGAGAAGACTCCCTGGAAAAGACCCTGATGTTGGGAAAGATGGAGGGCACAAGGAGAAGGGGACGACAGAGGACGAGATGGTTGGACAGTGTTTTCGAAGCTACCAGCATGAGTTTGACCAAACTGCAGGAGGCAGTGGAAGACAGGAGTGCCTGACGTGCTCTGATCCATGGGGTCATGAAGAGTCGGACACAACTAAACGACCAAACAACAACAACAATCCAATTCCAACAAGTGGGATTTGGAACAAAATGCTGTGGTGTAGCCTCACTTCCTAGCAGAGGGGACAGGGAACCTTAGGCCCTCCAGTTGTTGCTGAACTACATCTCCCATCATCCCTGGCTACTGACCATGCCTGCTGTGGCCAATAGGAGTTGTAGTCCTGCAGCATCTGGAGAGCCTAAGGTTCCCCACATGCCCTAGCAAGAGGGCTCCCAATTTAGGGCAAGAAACCAGCCGTATCCTCCAGAGCACAGTCTCCCATATTTGGGTCTCCAGCTGTTTTTGAACTATTAAGTCCCATCATTCCTGACCACTGGTCCTGCTAGATAGGGATGGTGAGAATTGTAGTCCTCCTTTGGCGATTACTTGTAGCCAAGTAAGATTGTCTTCCTTGAACACGGTCTTAACAGTGAGTCTAAGTGACTGTGGAGGCCAAGTCTAGATCCACACGTCCTTCCACAGTGGGGACAAAGGTTTCCGGGGGGAGTTGATCACAGTGAGGGTTTGCCAAGCGTGCCTTCCTCTTAGCACGTTTCTCCCTTTCGTCCTGAGTTCGAGCGTCTTCAAAGCCCATGACACCTTTGGTCAAGGCTGTTCTCAAATTGGAGCGCTCGCAGGCCAGTGTTTCCCAGTTGTCGGTGTTTATACTACATTTTTTAGATTTGCCCTGAGAGAGTCTTTGAACCTCTTTTATTGACAACCAGCTTTGGAAGTTGCTTTGGAAGATAATCAAACATCTGCACAACATGACCAGTTCAATGAAGTTGATGTTGAAGAACTGGTGGTCTTTGCTTCTTCCAGTACAGTGGCATTAGTTCGCCTTTCTTCCCAGGTGATGTGTAAAATCTTTTAAACATCATTGATGGAACACCGTTGATGGAATCTTTCGAGGAGCTGGAGATGGCATTCATAAATAGTCCACATTTCACAAGCATACAGTAAGGTTGGTAGTACAATAGCTATGTAAAGCATTTTGGTTTCCCTGCAAATGTCCCGGTCCTCAATCAGTCTGCACTTCAACAGCAGTTGGAGATCCAAGTTTGAGAAGCCCTACTCCAGAATATTATAAACTGCAAAGGGTGCAAGGCGGCCAACTGATTGTCCTTTCCTACAACTCCACTGCAAAAATTCCCTGCCTCCTAAGCGGCAGTAAGCAGGCTGTCTTCACTGGGCTGGTGAGAGGGGATCAATTCCCACTTAAAAAAATAAATCTGCAAACCTCAAGGTCCCTGTGGCATTCTCTAATGCTCCTGTCTTGGTTCCCATCCTGCCAACACTCGCCACCTGAGCTTGATGTTAGAGGGAGCGATTAGTCACCAGCAGGATACATGATGTGAGCAAATAGAACAATGATGTGCCCCTTTATACAAACACACACATTCCTCCTGTGCCAAGAACTGGTTCATGTCTATCATGTGATTTTCCTTACGTTGATCACTTGGCATTGATGGATGGCGGACTAATGCATATACAGTGGTAAGGTAAAGGTAAAGGGACCCCTGACCATTAAGTCCAGTCGTGACCGACTCTGGGGTTGCGGCGCTCATCTCGCTTTATTGGCCGAGGGAGCCGACGCACAGCTTCCGGGTCATGTGGCCAGAATGATTAAACCACTTCTGGTGAACCAGAGCAGCGCACGGAAACGCTGTTTACCGTCCCGCCGGAGCGGTACCTATTTATCTACTTGCACTTTGACGTGCTTTCGAACTGCTAGGTTGGCAGGAGCAGGGACCGAGCAATGGGAGCTCACCCCATCGTGGGGATTTGAACTGCCGACCTTCTGATCGGCAAGTCCTAGGCTCTGTGGTTTAACCCACAGTGCCACCCATGTCCCTTTTATATACAGTGGTACCTTGGGTTAAAAACTTAATTCGTTCCGGAGGTCCGTTCTTAACCTGAAACTGTTCTTAACCTGAAGCACCACTTTAGCTAATGGGACCTCCTGCTACTGCCACGCTGCTGCTGCACAATTTCTGTTCTCATCCTGAAGCAAAGTTCTTAACCCGAGGTACTATTTCTGGGTTAGCGGAGTCTGTAACCTGAAGCGTCTGTAAACCAAGGTGCCACTGTAAACTCTATCCAATGGTCAGGCTCCGTTCACACATGCGTGTCATCCCGTTAGAACGACAACCAAGCAACAAGAATCGCACACACCCCTTCAGCAACCTCCATTTGTCCAGCATGGATGTTTTCGGGACATGAAGCACTTGATCGCCATCCTGACGGACCCTTCCCTGGGAATAAAGTCTTGTTTATAGGAGCCAACTCCTACGGTGCAGAGGTCCCTTCACCCACCCCCCCTAAAATATTTAAGGGGTCTGTGGCCCCCCAAAGTTAATTGCCATTGCAATTCAAATAGTGTGGGCGTGCATGTGTGCGCCCTGTCACGTTATCGATTATGCGTGGCGGGGTTTACTTGCCCCCTCCCACAATATTTTATTCAAGTTGGCAACCCCCTGGCCCTGTTACACTTCCGAGCAAACCTTTGCACAGAAACGGTGTGCATGGACTGCAGTTCACTCCTAAAGCAAGCAAGCATGCAAACATGGCCATAGCCACGGGCGCGTGGCAGAGAGGCAGCTGCCCACAAATCAATAAAAATCCTCAACTAACTGTGTGGACATAGCCAGGATTTGGGGGGGAGGGAGCAGCTGCCCCTCCCTGCCTATGCCCCTGACTAGCTGAGGTTCTGCCCCCTCTAACATAAAGCCTGCCCTCCCCAAGATTTTTCTTAGGGGGGGCAAGCCTTTGGGGGGGCAGAACCTCAAGGAGCTATGCATTTTTATTGATTTCTGGGTGGCAGCTGCCCCTTCCTGGCGACGCCCCTGACTAGCTGAGGTTCTGCCCCCTCTAATATAAAGCCTGTCCCTCCCCCCCAGCAAAAAAATCCTGCATGCAAAGGAGCTCCCTTTCGTCTGAGAACTGCTGGGCTTAGTCGCGAGCAAGTGGTGACCCCTTCTCCCGCCGCCGTGCCGCGCAGGAATTGCCCGGGGACGAGCATTGGGCGAAATGCAAAGACGTCTCCCGTGCTTTTCCTTAAGCGGCGAAGGGGAGAAAGGCGAGACGCGAGCACGCGCCGGCACCCCGCCCCGTCCAGGCGCGTCCCCGCCCTGCGGCTCTCCGGGCGGGGGCCACGTGATTTCCTGGAAGAGGGCAAGGCGCTAGGTCTCTTTAAGTTTCGCTTTCCACTTTGCAAACGCTGCCAGTCGCTGCGACGGGCGGGTTGGACGGCGGGGTCCCCTTCTGTCTCCGTTGCACTCGCGCGCCCCAGCCATGGCTCAGCTGCTGCGCGCGCCCTCGGCCCCTTCCCTGGTGGGCTTGGAAGAGGAGCTGACGTGCTCCATCTGCCTGTGCGTTTTCGAGAGCCCCGTGACCACCCCGTGCGGCCACAACTTCTGCCTGCCTTGCCTGGAGATGACCTGGTCGGGCTTGCTGAGGAACTTCTGCTGCCCTCAGTGCAGGAGCTCCTTCGACAGTCGCCCCGAGCTGAAGAAAAACACGGTCCTCTGCAGGGTGGTGGAGCAGTTCCAGAGCGCCCAAGGCGAGCCCGCCGAGAAGAAGAAAGGCCTTGGAGATGCCACCACCAAAACCACCAGCAGCAGCAGCACCCGCTCTTCGGTGGCCTGTGACAGTTGCCTGGAGAAGGTGGCCGACAAAACCTGCCTCACCTGCATGGCCTCCTTCTGCCCGGAGCACCTGCGGCCGCACCTAGAGAGCCCCGCCTTCAAGGGCCACCAGCTGGTGCCGCCGGTGAAGGACCTCCAGCGCCGGAAGTGCCAAACCCACCAGAAACTCCTGGAGTTCTACTGCAAGGAGCACAACAGCTGCATCTGCTGTTTTTGCTTGGTCACGCACAAGGCGTGCGCCACCGTCCCCTTGCAAGAGGCCAAGGACGAGAAGGAGGTGAGACGGGGCCTTGGCCAGCTTCTGGCGCCGTCCAGGTGTACAGCCGTACCTTGGAAATCAAATGGAATCCGTTCCGGAAGTCTGTTTGACTTCCAAAACATTCGGAAACCAAAGCACGGCTGTCGATTGGCTGTAGGAAGCTCCTGCTGCCAATCGGAAGCCCCGTCGGACGTTCGGCTTCCAAAAGAACGCTCGAAAACTGGAACAGTCACTTCCGGGTTTTGGTCGTTCGGGAGCCAAGGCGTTTGAGATCCAAGGTACGACTGTATTGGATTCCCAAATCCTGTCAGCCCTGGCCAGCACAGCCAATGGTCAGAGGGGCGACATGGAGATTGTCATCTAAATTTGGAAGGCGTGTGGCCAGGGAAAGGCTGGTTTGTGTCGCAAATGTAGCTCATGCGGCCTTGCGGTTAGGCAGTCGCCTGGTAGGCACAGAGGCAAGTGAGCAGGCTGGTTGAGGAGGGGCAGAGCACTATGGTTTGGCAACAGAGCGTGTGTTCATGGCGTCCGGGAAGGGGGCACAGTGGGCGAACAGAACCCACCACGTCCCAACCCAGCTCTCAACCAAACCAGAACAGCACCAGCCCTGAGCCGCTTTGCGAGGCCTTGCAAAGTGGCTCAAGGAGGGCAGTGAGAGAAGCACGCTGTGTACCCTTCGATCCATGGACATAGCTAGGATTTATGTTGGAGGGCAGGACACCCGCTGGTCATCCTCTGTCTGGCTCTGTCCAACAGATTCAGAATGAACTGTATCAACATTTCTTTTCTTTTGACCCCAAGTGCTCAAAATCTTTCTACTATTTCTACTTTTAGTCAAATATTTCTATTTATTTGCTTGATTTGGAGGAGCGAAGCTGCCCCTTCCCCCTGGCTATGCCCAGGGACTGGGCTCAAAGGACATGTGGCTGTTGCTTTTTTATCACGGCACCCTCCTCGGAGCCTAGCCTTGTGAAGTTATAGTTTCTATGCTGGGTGAAAAGGTGAGACAACTGGGCTGGTGGAGGAGGGAGGCATGCTATTCAAAAATCACAATGTGAAGAAAACTCTGAAGCCAGCCAATGCCTCTACATAGCCACCCCCCCCCGTTATTTCAGACATTGCAATATACAGTTGTACCTTGGTTGTCAAACGCCTTGGCATTCGGACGTTTTGGCTTCTGAACGCTGCAAACCTGGAAGTGACTGTTCCAGTTTGCAAACGTTCTTTGGAACCCAGACGTCCGACAGGGCTTCCAATTGGCTGCAGGAGCTTCCTGCAGCCAATCGGAAGCCTCGCTTTGGTTTCCAAACGTTTGGGAAGTTGAACGGACTTCCGGAACAGATTCCATACGACCACTATACTCGTATATTCCAACATTTAGCTGGTGATATGTTACAAAGTTAAAAAACAGGTATTGCCCAACCTTAGTCAGGAATGGTCAGGAAGTATAGGAGGTGCAGTGTGTTAATATCCGGAGGGAAGCGGGTTCCTGTTTTTTGCTCAAGAGCAGGAACGGCGTGTCTGTGGATGTCGATAGCTGATCTGTACTCTTAAAGCGGAGCCTCTTTTATTCTCTTACAGTCCCAACTGAAGCAGAGACTAACGGAACTCTATGCTCTGAACGAGAAGGCTTTGCAGTCCTTGGACCAAGTGCGAGTGCAGCAGAAGCAAACCAGTGTAAGGAATGATTCGTGTTTTCACAGCTTGCTTTTGATGAGAGGGGCGGGAGATTTGTGCACCACAAGCGACCCGCCTTGAGTTGAAAGGGAAGACCAAGATGGCGGATGTGAGCCTCAGTCAGATAGCTGGTGGCCAGCTGGTTAACATCAGCCTGCCGTACCACAGTCTTACACTGCTGGTGGCAATAGGTATTTTCTATTATCCCTGGAAACAGCTCACAAACGTGATGAAGCAGACTCATTTTCCTACTCATATTGAAATACTGCCCCTCAGTGAGGCCAAACTTAGATCCACAAAATGTTTAGGGGTATGCGTATCCCTGCGTCCCCCCAGAAAAAAGCACTCTGTGTGTGTGCGTGTGTATTATAATAATTATTAAATTTTCTAAATTACATTTCAGAATATTCATTTAAACAACCTTAAATGAATGACTTCCCTTCTTCTCTTTCTGTGGTTCAATTTGCATTCCGTACATCCCTGCATATTTTACAGCATGAACTAAATCATTCAGTAATCCAGTGTTACACCCATTAAATCTTATTTACAGAGTGTTTCTTTTTAAGGCACAACATGCAACAAAAGGTTCTTGTGTCTCCAAATAGGGCTCAGGTTTGGAAGCTGCCTTTTGGTATTTAGAACCTGACCATTTTATTATACCTGTAGAGCAGGTTGTAAGGGACGCTGGTGGCGCTGTGGTCTAAACCACTGAGCCTAGGACTTGCTGATCAGAAGGTCGGTGGTTCGAATCTCCGCGACGGGGTGAGCTCCTGTTGTTTGGTCCCAGCTCCTGCCCACCTAGCAGTTTGAAAGCACGCCAAAGTGCAAGTAGATAAATAGGTACCACTCCAGCGGGAAGGTAAACGGCGTTTCCATGCACTGCTCTGGTTCACCAGAAGCGGCTTAGTCATGCTGGCCACATGACCCGGAAGCTGTACACTGGTTCCCTTGGCCAATAAAGCGAGATGAGCGCCGCAACCCCAGAGTCATCCACGACTGGACCTAACAGTCAGGGGTCTCTTTAACTTTAGAGCAGTTTGTATGCTACCTCTGGAGAGTAGCAAAGGGGTCCTGCTTTCATTTCCTCCTGAAACACCCCTATGCAGCAAGGGGCAGTCTTTCATTTAACCTTGCGGCATACATCTCTGCCCATCCCTTAGTAGAGGCATAGGCAAACTTGGCCTTCCAGATGTTTTGGGACTACAACTCCCATCATCCCTATCTAACAGGACCAGTGGTCAGGGATGATGGGAGTTGTAGTCCCAAAACATCTGGAGGACTGAGTTTGCCTATGCCTGCCTTAGTACTTCCTGTAACTATGCTGGCGACTTGAGTAGACCCATTCCTTCTCTCCGTTTCCCACAGCCCCACCCTCCACCTCCGATTTCATCTACCATTTCCCTTCTTAACTGACACCACAACATTTCATACATCCTGAAAGCTCACGGTTATTTGTCAATCCCTTTTGGGGTTTTTTTTTTTTTTTAAGTTTTCTTTCTCATTTCCAAAAATTTTCTGTACCTTAGAAGTCTCTCCCTTTTTGTACAGGTGACTCTTTTCCAAGCCATGTCCTCTTGAGTGGGGAGTAGACAGAGAATATGCAGTTTATTAAATTTGTTTTTTAAAAAAATAAAAATGCCTATTTTAAAATGCATGCTAAGGTCTTAGTGAATAAAACATTTCATTTTTTAAATAATAATTTTTATTAATTTTCAGTTTCAATCCAATAATAGCCTCATTATAACAAGACCAAATCATAATACAGTTACTAATACCAATTGTTCAAATACCAAATTACATAATTTACGTGGCCTCCCGCATGCTAGAATTGATGGTTTGATTATTTTCTTTATTTCTGCGTTCCAAAATCTTACTAATTTCAATTACATTCTGGTCAAAATAATAATCCCTTATACAACAACTGCAGTATTAATAACTTCTATTTGTGTTGACATATTAGATGATTTATAGAACTAAAACATTTCAGAAAGCTGTGTTCAACATTCACTTGAGGCTCCAGCTTTCTTCTTCGTGATCCCCCACCTTTTTGCCATATAAAAATCTGACAACATTAAGCTTATTCAGTACTGATCATGTAGAGTTCTCATTTGGCCTAATTACCCATTATCACTTTCTGAACTCTTATTTCCAAATTTTTTTTTTTTTTTTGTTTTTTTTTTTTTGTCTCTTCAGGATACAGCTAATCGGAAGTTGGACCTGCTGAAGGCAGAATTCCTGGAAATTATTGCTTTAATTGAAGAGGAAGAAAAAGAAGCTGTGAAGAAAGTCCTAGCGGAGGAGAAAAGAGTCCAAGATAAATACGAATATGTCTATAAAGTGCTGGGAAAGAAGAAAACCGAAATCCAGGGAGCGAGAGACCAAATTGAAGTGACCTTGACAGAGGATGACGACATCACATTCTTAAAGGTAAACCTCTGTTTCCCTGAACCAGGGCCGGATTTAGGTTTGATGAGGCCACAAGCCACTGAAGGTAATGGGGCCCTTTATATGTCCAGCTGCCCTTTGTCAACAACAAATTGTCACTGTTTTTTGTGTTGAATATATGCTATATGGTTATTTATGGACCTAACAGTTCAATACACAACACAAAACACTGTTGCTGTATGTAGGTTTTATATTATTTGTTTTTTATCTTATATTTTGGAAATGTATGTCCAGTTTTTTCCCCTTTAAATTTTTTTGGGGCCTCCCGAGAGAGTGGGGCCCTAAGCTATAGCTTGTTTAGCTTATACGTAAATTCAGCACTGTCCTGAACTCTGTTCAGTCCTGAACTGATTTCCTAGGCTTGGGTGCCACTATATTTCCATCTGCGCAAACGCTGCATGGCAGCAGCTTCCTACGACTGCTGCTCCAGAGGGCAGTATGTGATTATTACTCCCTTCCAGACAAAGATAAAGAAGTAAAGGACTCCTGGATGGTTAAGTCAAGTCAAAGGTGACTATGGGGTTCCGGCACTCATCTCGCTTTCAGGCTGCGTTTGTCCACAGACAGCTTTCCAGGTCATGTGGCCAGCATGACTAAACTGCTTCTGGTCCAACGGGACACCGTGACGGAAGCCAGAGCTTCCTGCCACAGTGGTACCTATTTATCTACTTGCACTGGTGTGCTTTCAAACTCCTAGGTTGGCAGGAGCTGGGACAGAGCAACGGCAGCTCACTCCATCGCAGGGATTTGAACCACCAACCTTCTGGTCGGTAAGCCCAAGAGGCTCAGTGGTTTAGACCACAGCACCACCGGCGTCCAGACAGGAAGGGGATGTGACAGTGTGTAAGAGCAGAAATCCTCATGAGATCATCTGCTTTTATTTCAGAAGGCAGCAAAACTCCGGCAGTTACCCATCAAAGATGTCTTCATACCTAAACTAGAATTGGATCAAAACTTGATACACACCGTTTATCAAAAAGCCTTTGGCCTCAAAGAAAACGTGAAACAGTTCTTGGCTCAACCCCAGGAGAAGAAAAAAGAAGGTACAGTGGTACCTCGGGTTACATACGCTTCAGGTTACAGACTCCGCTAACCCAGAAATAGGACCCCGGGTTAAGAACTTTGCTTCAGGATGAGAACAGAAATCATGCTCCGGCAGCACAGAGGCAGCAGGAGGCCCCATTAGCTAAAGTGGTGCTTCAGGTTAAGAGCAGTTTCAGGTTAAGTATGGACCTCCAGAACGAATTAAGTACTTAACCTGAGGTACCACTGTACTTGGCCTGTTTTGTTTACTAGCATGTGTCTCTTGCTTATTGTATCTCAGTGCACACTGTATTGAAGTTTTAAAGACTAAATGGTTTTGGTATAAATTATGAGAATCACAGGTCCAGGGTCTCTCAAACTACTGCTTATAACGACAGAAAACCATGTTTTTCTTAATTACCCATTACGTATTAATGTGAATGTGGGTGAAGGTGGGAGTCCGATTGATTTGTAAATTCTGCATAGTAACTGACTTGGAGTGAGGAGACCTAGGTTAGAAACACAGATATATATAAGTTAGGCGCCAAAAAGCTCCTTAAACCAGGGCTTCAGTCTCCAAAACAGAATGCCTAGTTGCCATTTTGGGGCAGCCGGCTCAAAAGACGTATTTTCCAGTACAACTTTTTGGTTCCTGAAATTCATTCTGACTGTGCAGATAAAATACAACAGATAGAATTCTACAGGATGTGTTGCTAGTGTGTGAAAACAGTCAAGATCCAGGCATGCACCTGCAGGTGGGGGAGACGTTGGGCACCATCCTGGCGCCCGCGCATCTTCCCTTGGTTACATGTGTCTGATAGCCAGGTACAAAATGCGCCTGGTGAATTTCGAATGCTATTTGAATCCCTTGGTCCAGTCTCTTGGCCTCACACCTCTCTGTCTGTAAAATGGGTTTACAAATAGTGTTCCCATTGCAGTGGCGATTCTGGGTAGCTTATTCTAACCAACTGAGCTATCCGCCCACCGGGAATAATTCTTTCGGCACATCGGCAAGGAGCAAATTTGGAACTGTTTGCCAAAATAACTTTAGGCAACAGATCCAAACCACACCACCAGATGTGTACATCTGTGGCGTTGTTCCCAGGGGGAAACCAGGGCAAAGCACATCGTGAGAAACTCTGCATGTCCATACATGCACACATATACTTTACTTTCAGGAGCCGCACAGCGGAAACCGAAGCCTTTTGTGCAGCCAGGGGGGGAAATTGCTGCATCCAGTAAGTGAAAATGCATGTGACCCCCGCTGCTTGCTAAATTCTTTTTGCAGTAGCAAAGACGCCTCTTAACTCCAGCCTTGGTTGCTAAGTGGGTGGAAGGTCCTACGACAGACACATCGCTTCCAGTCCTGCGCATGCCTGTTCCTCCTTTTGCCTGGCTGTCTTTTAAGATATGCAGCAAGATTCTTGCTTGCTGCAGAAAACCCAATATGACCACCCTTCTAACTAGTGTTTTCTTTTCAAAGGTGCACCAAAGAGAGACGACCCTCCATCAACATCTTCACAGGCGAAGAAGACAGAAGAGGATGCTGCAGCTGCTGCTGCTGCAGACACTAGTGAGTGTTGAGGACACAAATTATTATTGATAATTTCCAGAGTGTCTCTCTCTCTCTCTCTCTCTCTCTCCTCTTGTGTGAGCAAGCAGAGCTATGGGGATAAGAGATTACAGGAAGCCAGGGGCTCCTCCCAAGTTTTCTTACGTACGCAGCCTAAGTTGTTAATCTTTGAGAAGGTGGATATTTATTGTCTTTGGGCAGACAGCTATAATGGTTGGCCTTCCCAAAGATAAACGCTGTGGCGTAGCAGTTGGGACACTGGATTAAGGGTAAAGGTAAAGGGACCCCTGACCATTAGGTCCAGTCGTGGCCGACTCTGGGGTTGCGGTGCTCATCTCGCTTTATTGGCCGAGGGAGCCGGCGTACAGCTTCCGGGTCATGTGGCCAGCATGACTAAGCCGCTTCTGGCAAACCAGAGCAGCGCACAGAAATGCCGTTTACCTTCCCGCCGGAGCGGTACCTATTTATCTACTTGCACTTTGACGTGCTTTCCAACTGCTAGGTTGGCAGGAGCAGGGACCGAGCAACGGGAGCTCACCCCGTCGTGGGGATTCGAACCGCCAACCTTCTGATTGGCAAGCCCTAGGCTCTGTGGTTTAACCCACAGCGCCACCCACGTCCCAGAGGACACTGGATTAGAAGGAGCCAAATTCAAACCCTCACTCTGCCGTGAACCTTGGGCAGGCTAGACGTTCTTGGCCTAACCTACTTCGCAAGGTTGTTAGGAGGATTAAATGGGAGAGATTTGTGTATGCCACCTTGAGCTCCTTGGGGGAAAGGGGGAACAGTAAAGATGAATCATTCTGGAAATAATAATAATAATATTTCGCTCATCTGGCTGGGTTGCCCCAGCCACTGGGCGGCTTCCAACACATATAAAAATGCAGATTTTGGATTCTAAGATAACGGTAGAGTACCTGCACACTTTAAAGCCTGTTTGTTGCAAGTCAAACTCTGGAAATGTCCCTAGATTTGAATACGCCACTCCCTCTCTGCCCAAGCAGTGCTTGAGACTCTCCATGTTATTTTTAAAAAAATCTTATTTATTGATTTTTCACCCAAAAACTTTACAAATTTTAACATAAACCACATGCTTCTTTGCCCATTGATTTCCCATCTTCCCTTTCCACAATTTTCATATTACTTACCCTTAAACGCTGCACATTTCACCTATAGAATTCAAGACATCCATGCTAACCCACTTACCTTAATAATTCATACAGTCGTACCTTCGAAGCCGAATGCCTTGGCTCCCGATCAGATCGGCTCCCGAACGATCGAAACCCGGAAGTGAGGGTTCTGGTTTTCGAACGATTTTTGGAAGCTGAACATCCGGCGCAGCTTCTGTGGCTTCTGATTGGCTGCAAGACGCTCCTGCAGCCAATCGGAAGCCGCGCTTTGGTTTCCGAACGGCTCCGGAATGCATTCTGTTTGAAAACCAAGGTACCACTGTATTTCAAATCCTACTCGCGTCTGTTTTTCTCTCTGTAAAGGTAAAGGGTAAAGGGACCCCTGACCATTAGGTCCAGTCGTGACCGACTTTGGGGCGCTCATCTCGCTTTATCGGCCAAGGGAGCCGGCGTACAGCTTCCGGGTCACGTGGCCAGCATGACTAAGCTGCTTCTGGCGAACTAGAGCAGCGCACAGAAATGCCGTTTACCTTCCCGCCGGAGCGGTACCTATTTATCTACTTGCACTTTGACGTGCTTTCAAACTGCTAGGTTGGCAGGAGCAGGGACCGAGCAACGGGAGCTCACCCCGTCGCGGGGATTGGAACCGCCGACCTTCTGATTGGCAAGCCCTAGGCTCTGTGGTTTAACCCACAGCGCCACCCGCATCCCTTTTCTCACAGTAGGGAACTCTTTAAATATGTCTCGAGTCCTCAAGGAAGTTTTCATCAAGAGACCCTCTTATGTTACTGCTCCCTCTCTTCTCCCTAGCTTCCTCTAGGCGGCGCTGTTATAAATATAAGCTCTTTGGCGCAGGCAGCATCTCTTGTGCTGTTCTGCATACCTGAAGGTAAAAGGGCGTTTCGGTTGCCAAAGTCCAAAGGTGATTGTGGCCCCCTTGTTCCCTTGTGTACAGCAGGCCTTATTTGCCAGGTAATGACCTGGGCTGTGCCCTTTGTTTGACATTTGCTGCCTCCACCCATTATGTTTGCTCAGAAAAAAAGCATACCTGGTTACTGCAGTGAATAAGGTTTCTGGAGATCGATTGGCGGGCCCTTTTCCCCGCCCATTTTTCACGATGATACTGTTGAATTGCATGCAATTTCTTCCGCAACTCTGCTTGCTTTTAAGAAGGAAGATTCTTTCCAAAATGAAGTGTGTGTCTGCTGATGTTAGCTCTGCCGCTTCTTTTCTGATTAAAAACAAGGCTATAATAACAGCAATTTATAAGTTATTACAGCGGTACCGCGGGTTGAGTACTTAATTCGTTCTGGAGGTCCGTTCTTAACCTGAAACTGTTCTTAACCTGAAGCACCACTTTAGCTAATGGGGCCTCCTGCTGCTGCTGCGCCGCCGGAGCACGATTTCTGTTCTCAACCTGAAGCAAAGTTCTTAACCTGAAGCACTATTTCTGAGTTAGCGGAGTCTGTAACCTGAAGCGTATGTAACCTGAAGCGTATGTAACCCGAGGTACCACTGTACTTACACCTCGCTCATCTGGCTGGGTTTCCCCAGCCACTCTGGGAGGCTATCAACAGGAGATTAAAAATACATTAAAACATCAGTCATTAAAAAACTTCCCTAAGCAGGGCTGCCTTCAAATGTCTTCTAAAAATAATAATAATAATTTATTACTATATGTAATACAGTGGTACCTCTGGTTACATACGCTTCAGGTTACAGCCTCCGCTCACTCAGAAATAGGACCTCGGGTTAAGAACTTTGCTTCAGGATGAGAACAGAAATCGTGCTCCGTGTGGCGGCAGCAGGAGGCCCCATTAGCTAAAGTGGTGCTTCAGGTTAAGAACAGTTTCAGGTTAAGAACGGATCTCCGGAACGAATTAAGTACTTAACCCGAGGTACCACGGTATTATTATTGTTTATTTATATGCCGCCATTTGACTGGGTTGTCCCAGCCACTCTGGGCGGCTCCCGACAGAATGTTAAAACAAAATAAAACATCAGACGTAAAAAGCTACCCTGTGCATGAGTTCTTTCTGAGCATCAGCAATGGGTGTCTTGTTGCATCACAACCTTTTCCTTTTTGTTGTGCTTGTCTTTGTTCTTGGCTTCCCGTGTTGTTGGTGGGACACCTGCCCTACCGACTGCCCAGTCCCCCCCCTCCCAACCTATTATTAGCCAAATCACCTGAATCAAGTCACAAGTTCACTGGTATTTCTTTTGAAGAATACCACCTGCAAGGTAACACATGGTAGCTTATAACGAGTGTGAAGTTTGAAGAGGTTTTTCCTTTTTTTAATGTATAAAAATGGATGATCAAAAGCAGATAAATTTAGATAACCAGGAGAAACTGAAGAAGATGGCAGAATGGAACATGGTTCAATAAAAACATGGAGGGTGCAGCCAAAAGAACAAGGAAGAAGTTTACAATTTAGAGTTGAAAAGAAAACAGTTAGATTTATTTGGGGCCTGCCTTACATCTGCTGCAGAATGAGATGTTGGAGGTAGACTGGACTTCAGCTGGATAAATTCAACTCTTGAATGAAAATAAGTTTCAGTGACTCTTCCAGATGGCAAACCTCTAGTTGCAAGGCACAGGTGCTCCATTGTTAGCATACGCTGAGGTTGTTTTTTTAAAAAATATATTGTTTCATTACGTTCCCTAGTAACCACAACTGTTTCATTTCCCCAGTAACCACAACTGTTTCCTTTTTCCTTTTTTTTTCAGAGCAGAGAAGGCGACCTGCTAAACGATGTAAGTTCACTCTTGAAAAAATTGCATTGCCTTGCTTAAAAGTTGAGGAATAGCTGACCTGTCTTTTGAACCTGGTGTCACAAGAGGGCTCTTCACGCATTTACCCAGATGTGTACCCATGGCTCTATCCATAAAGTATCCCTGCCAACACCCTGTTTTATGTGGTTCTAAGCTAACAACGTCCTAATCATATATCTCAGCTGGTAAAGTGGCGCATCTTCAGTATCTGACAAAAAGTTGTACAATGAGGATGACGGTTGCACTTCTGTGGGGAAGGAATTCTACAGTTCAGAGGGTTGTAAGCGAATTCTACGTTCTAAACTACAGTTGTACCTTGGATCCCGAACGCCTTGGTACTAGAATGTTTTGACCCCCAAATGCCACAAACCCGGAAGTGACTGTTGCAGTTTTCGAACACTCATTTGGAACCCAAACGTCTGATGGGGCTTCTGAGGCTTCCGATTGGCTGCAGGAACTTCCTGTGGCCAATCAGAAGCCGCGCTTTGGTTTCCGAATGTTTTGGAAGTCGAACGGACTTCTGGAACGGATTCCGTTCGACTTCCAAGGTACGACTGTATTGCTTTTAAATTATATCATTGTTTTGCTGTAAGTTGCTTATTATGGTTGGTTAGAAACCTGGCAAATGAATAAATGTTTCTCGTGTTAACTCCTACTAAAGTTTCTGCGAACCAAATCACATTTCAGATGTGATCAGGCCACCAGAGGGAGTATTAGAGACACGTAGCGGTCAAGTGAAGCAGACTTGAGAGGCTGCGTAAATTGCTTGCTAGGAAAGCATCCTGGCTATGCTACCATGGTCAGTGAACGAGAAAAGTGGCCTCCTTCAGAGCCAAAATCCATTTGCTTGCATTAGGTACTACCTTTTCAACTGAAAGCATTTTCAAAGGTATCTCCTTTGTAAAACAGAATAAAGAGATGAAGACTCGGCTTTCTTCTTCTAAAAGTTAACTGTGTTGTCTTGCCTTGGACAAGAGGGTTCAGCCTGAGGAGCGTCTAGATTTCAGGAAACAGATCTACTGCAATACTCGGGAGAGATCTTCCAGTAAATCCTGATCTTCTTTCTGCCCACCCTTCTCCTAGAAGACTCAGAGGTGTAGGGAAAATAAGGATGTTTTAAAATGCCTCTGCTGCATTGCTAGATCTCCATTGGTCCCAGAGTGGGAGGGAAGGAACTCTGAAGTGTTACTGAACGCAAGGACCAGGGAATGGAAGTGTTTTAAGTGATTGAAAAAGGACCTTGGGTTTTTCCTCACCAGGGTTAAATGGTGTTCAGCGGCTCCTGGCTCTTGGGATGATGATGATGATGATGATGATAAATTTATACCCAGCCCATTTGGCAGAATATTAAAGGGACCCCTGACTGTTGGGTCCAGTCGTGGCCGACTCTGGGGTTGCGGCGCTCATCTCGCTTTACTGGCCGAGGGAGCCAGCGTACAGCTTCCGGGTCATGTGGCCAGCATGACTAAGCTGCTTCTGGCGAACCAGAGCAGCGCACGGAAACGCTGTTTACCTTCCTGCCAGAGCGGTACCTATTTATCTACTTGCACTTTGATGTGCTTTCGAACTGCTAGGTTGGCAGGAGCAGGGACCGAGCAACGGGAGCTCACTCCGTCGCAGGGATTCGAACCACCGACCTTCTGATCGGCAAGTCCTAGGTTCTGTGGTTTAACCCACAGCGCCACCCGCGTCCCTTAACAGAATATTAATAATAATAAAAAAAATAAAACATCAAACAATAAAAAAAATTAAAAACTTCCCTAAGATTATCAGTTTCCTGCTTTCCAGTTCAACAGCTGTTCCTGTATTAATCGTTGGAATAGTGTGCAATCTTAAACCCAGTTGTATGGCGAAAAGACCCTTCAGAATCAAGGTGACTTGACTTTTGAATGAATTTGGCTAGAATTTGGCTGTAAGATCCTGTTTGTGCAACCTGTGTGGTAGAGTTGAATAAAACCTTGTGGAAATTAAGTTGCCCTGTTTTGGTGATGGTTGTTTAAAATGTGTGTATTGTAAAAATAATAATCACCACACGACTCCATTTCCCTCCCTTCCCCAGCACAAAGTCCCACCCAGAGAGCACGAAGTTCTAGCAGGCCTCAAGCAGGGATTCCGTCGATAACTCTGGAAAGCTTTTTAAGTAAATCCCGAGAAGAACTTTTGGAATGTAAGTCACCTGATTCTGTGTATGCAAATTCAGTTCCCGGAATTCCATCACGCTCTCAACATTCTGTCACATTATTTTGGACTGGAAAGGTCCAGTGTATTTTTTTTAAGTATACACTAGTGGCCAAAATTGTGGAAACCTTTTGGGAAAAGTGTCTTTCCGAGGTTTGATGGCTCATAACACCTGATTGGCTCTCTAAACACTCATGCTCATTGGCTACATTCAACCTAAACAAGTTGTGCTTCCTTTTTCTGAATAAATAAAAAAAATTAAAATTGTACAGTAGCACCTCAGAGACCATCTAAGTTTGTTCTGGGTATAAGCTTTCGTGTGCATGCACACTTCTTCAGATACCCTAAAACAGAAGTCACCAGACTCTTACATATAGTGGGAGGGTGGGGTATTTCTCAGAAGGGTAGTAGGAGATGGGTGATTGGCTCAATGGGTATGGTAAATTCATTTTTTCTGGTTATTTGGCTATAATGTTTGACAGAATTCAGATTGAACAAACCCTGCTGCATTACATTCTTCATTAAATTACAGTGGTACCTCAGGTTACATACGCTTCAGGTTACAGATGCTTCAGGTTACAGACTCTGCTAACCCAGAAATAGTACCTCGGGTTAAGAACTTTGCTTCAGGATGAGAACAGAAATCGTGCTCCAGTGGTGTGGCAGCAGCAGGAGGCCCCATTAGCTAAAGTGGTGCTTCAGGTTAAGAACAGGTTCAGGGTAAGAACGGATCTCCGGAACGAATTAAGTACTTAACCCGAGGTACCACTGTATATTCCCATTGATGTATAATTTTATGGTATTTCTCCAAAAATAGTGGTGTTATGAGCCATGAAACCTCAGAAATTTCCCAAAAGGTTTCCACAATTTTGGCCACTAGTGTATTAACGTATGGGTCCTGTCCCCGTTCTCACACACTTTGTTTCTTTTTCCTCACACTATCTTTGTATAAATGAAGTTCTCTTAATAGCAAAGACTTATCGTGCTCTTCTTCCCCAACCTTCCTCAATTTCCCCTCTTGCTCTGTAAAATATCAGGTGGCCGTTCTTCTCACTTCTCCCCTGAACTTCCTTCTCCGCAGTTGCGACAAAATTCACTCTGGATTTCAACACCGCCCACAAGAAAGTGCTGCTCTCTGAGAGGAACACCAAGATATCCGTGTCGGAAACTCCTCAGAATTACCCCCACCACCCTCAGCGCTTCACCTACTGCTCCCAGGTGGTGGCCTTCCAGTGTTTCAAGCGGGGCATCCATTACTGGGAAGTGGAGCTGGAGCACAACACTTTCTGCGGGGTCGGCGTCTGCTATGGGAGCATGGCAAGGCAGGGGGCGGAGAGCCGCCTGGGGCGTAATGGCAGCTCCTGGTGCATCGAGTGGTTCAACTCCAGGATCTCGGCCTGGCACAACGACGTCGAGAAATGCCTGCCCAACACCAAGCTGAAGAAGATTGGCGTCTTGCTGAATTACGACGGCGGCTTCGTCATTTTCTTCGGCGTTGGCGAGAAACTCATCCTGCTCTACAAATTCCGGGCGCAGTTCACGGAAGCACTCTATCCAGCGTTCTGGGTGTTCTCCAGTGGGACCACTATCTCGCTGTGCCAGCTGAAGTGAAGAACGGAACCACCACCATTTGCTTTGCTCACATAGGGCCTGTCCGTATGTTATCTCTGTCTGTCTGTCTGTCTGTCTGTCTCTCTCTCTCTCTCTCTCTCTCTCTCTCTCTCTCTCAGAATCCTTGGCTTCAAAGCAAAAGTTCACCCTTTTGACCTTGCTTTCTGGGAATCTGAGGGCTACTAAATCAAAGCCACAATCCACTAAGAATATTGCCTTGCAGAAGCCTCTCTGAGAGTGTCCTTAGGAAACTTTCAGAGGTGTTTTCCTGTTGCGCTTTCGGTGGACTGTATTCCTCAGGCACACAGAACTCCTGGCACGCGTTACATGCAAGTCTGGGGCATGTCTGAGCAGACGCTTGCTTTGCATTGCTTCTGCCTCCATTCCTAACACGCTGTCAGGAGTTCCGAGCACAGGATATCTAAGGTGTATCCCCACTGCTGTGTCCCTGCCGGAAGAATTCAGTTCTTGCCGTATGGGCAGTGGCACACGCCCAATCACACTGTCTCAGGCAGATCAGGCTTCAAACAGATTTCTCTTTGAAATAGTCTGTTGTGATGCTTAGGGCAGTAACTTCCGTTGGGAGTTGCGTTTTGATAAACAAGAACAGCGCAGGGCTGTGGAGGTGGTTGGGCATTCCTGTATCCGATATTGCTAATTCTGCTCTTGAAGAAGAGCAGGGGCAATCAGTTTGGTATCGCTGCACGGAGGAGAGACGCAAAACGGTCTCTGCAGACTAACTACCCGTGATGTTACAAAAGGAACCCACCCACCCCCCTTCAATCGTTTGGAACGTCCATGAAGATGCAGATAAGCCCTTCTTAGCTTAATTCATTTCTTTGGAGTCATGGGAACTTAAGGAGCTGATTCTTTTGGAGGCTTTGAACCATATTCAGCATGCCAGGACAGGAAGGTTGGACAGGAAGTGCTCATGTTATGGTTGCACTTCCTGGTCAGAGACCCTTGCTGAAGGGGAACAGCTTCCTTTAGAACAACAACAAGACATCACCAGCAGCAGTCCATGCTTCACACCCTCTGTCTCGTTGACCGCTTGGAATAAAGCACTTCACTTCTCATCCTGGTCCTTGAAAATCTTAGTTGCGGCATTTTTTTCTGATTTTTGAGGTATTGGGAAGAGGCTGTGGGTGAAATGTGAGATCTTTCAGGCTAGTCTGGTAGATGGAATCTTCTGCTCTTCACTGTTGGAGGAGATTTTGATCCCTCATGTTGGACACATGCAGTTCTCCCAAGGGCAGACTTTGATAATGTTTTGACTTAAAAGATCACTAGTGTGAAGAACCAGCATGCCCAACATGGATCATGTCTCTGAGTGGTCCCTCCTAGTGGGCATTTCAGACTTAATGTGTGATCTGCCAGTCAGCAAACTGGGAAGGACTTGAAGAAGCTGGAAAGCTAAGATTTTCTAGTCAACATCCTTAGCATTCCTATGTCTTAGATTTCTTTATTTGATACCTGCTTCCGTGCCTTTCCGACAGTTACACATCATAAGCAATTGAAGAGAACTTTGCAACACTCTTTATTAAAGAGGAACAAGCTGGAGGCACTGCTAAGGTCTTAAGAAAATGTGTGTTTTGTACTGTTGCTAGTAGGCAGCACGTTTGGCCTTTCTGGGGCCAGAACACGCACACTTTGCAAAGATGCTTTTGACCACATCTCTTGCCTTGAAGCTCTCCAGTTTAGAAGCCTCACATGCCAGGGGTCTTCTGGCAGAGGTGAAATGGAAACTGAGAAGCATCGATGCTAGACATGAGCTGAGACCTCTGGAGAAAGCCTGAGATAAAAGCAAAGTGCTACAGCAAGTTGGCCCACATGTTTAAGAATCAAGCCATGGGTTTCTTCCCATAGTCAAAGGATTGAGTGATAATACACTGTTGGGAAATAATTCCTTTCCAAATATTCCAAGCAGTGACAGCTCTGCATCCCTACTCGGCTTTTGCACCAAACGACTCTTCTTCAGAATAGTCCAGGAATCTGAGGCACAAGTTACTGAGACCTTCTGTGGAGCTTATGAAAATGTAGTAGATCGTTGGCCCTCTTCCAAAAAACCCCAAGGAAGTTCAAGAAAGCCAGGAAAGAGTGATGAATGAGCTGAAAACAAAGTAGGGTGTGAGGCAGACAAGGGGAACACTACAGCGTTAAGCCGTAGTGTGACTTGAAACAAAATACAGAATAAACTTGAGGTAATGGAAGAATTGCTAGGGTGGAAGAATTGCTGGAATAGAGATCTGATTATTCTTCTCCGGTCTAGCAAAACCTTGGTGATCAGGAGCTCTGGGACCACATTTCCCCCTAATGATCCATGCCTATGTATTGTAGGATCTGAGGACATCATCTCCCTCCATAGAGAGAATTTTGGGTGTGTATCCTTTTTCTCATAAGACCTACTAACTTCTTCTTTTTTTTTGGTAGAAGTGCCCTTGAGGACTACTTTCTCAAATGAGTTGGGTATTTTACTTTAGCTATTCTTCCTACAAATGCTTGTGGGCTCCACACACTTTTCCATGTGTTTAAAGAACCCACAAGATATAAGGCACAGTAGAACCAGTTCCCCTTATCCAAACTTTGTGTGGTTTGGGATGTTTCCTACAGTGACTTGGTTGATGCCCAGCTGCCCTTCTGCTCTCATTACGATCTAGCTTCCTTGATCTTTGCTGAAATCTTCTGATTATGTTCCAATGGGTTTTGAGATGATGATCTTTGGGAATCTCACTACTTTTAGTCTTTTGCCTGGCACAAATATTGACCACGGGCTAAAAGTTGATCACTGTTTTTGATTGTTGAGATAAAAATGAAAGGTAATCTGTTTCTTCTTAGGTTAAGGCTTGTTTCCTAGCCTAGAATACCATGGGGGGGGGGGTGTTATGGCAAGACAGGCAGTAGAATAATACTAATGGATCCAGTCAAGCAAAAATTAAACGTATTATGTCCTATTGGTTTTGAGTGGAAGGATGCTGAGCCTCATTTTTCAACTCTGCCTTGATAATCAATGATACAATTTGATTTTCTGCTGTTGTTTTCCCAGACCAGATGAAACCCTTCACCGAAAAGCAATGTTTGCCTAGCAGTGTGGCTGTGTTTACATGGATACGTGGTTGGCTCAATTATAATAATCTAGTATCTAAGCTACCAATTTCTGCCCAGCTTTTCGGTGTAGTAAATGCAATGAAAGCTTATCTTGTCTGCAACACTACTGGGAAATAACTTCAGCAAGCTTGGAAGCTTGTACAGAAGAACAGAACATAAAAATCAAAATCTAGCTAATGTTTCTTCTAGTTCAGATTGCGAACCATGTTGGTCTGTGGGTTGTTTTTAAGAAGCAGAGGTTAAAAATAAGAGAGTGAATGTTTTTGGCATTCCTCCTTTTTTTTGCCACTGGGCTGCCTTTGTGATTGGCCCATTACAGTGTCAGGCAAGACTCTGTCAAATGTAATGTTGCAATGTATCTTGCAGGTTGGCTTGATGTTCATTAAGTGAAAATTCAATAAAGTTTGATTTTATGATCGTTACCGCAGAGTGATGATTGTTGAAAAAGACAGCCTGCTGCCTCTGCTGGGGAATGAATATGGGTTTAGCATTAATCCCGAAAACTTAATTCACTTGTAGGGAATCTTAATTGAAAGCAGCGGGACCTCCGTCAAGTAATGCCAGTGAAACTTGCATAGGATTGCAGCATCCACCTACACCATGGGTAGGCAAACTAAGGCCTGGGTTCTGGATCCAGCCCAATCGCCTTCTAAATCTGGCCCACAGACGGTCCGGGAATCAGCGTGCTTTTTCATGAGTAGAATGTGCCCTTTTATTTAGAATGCATCTCTGGGTTATTTGTGGGGCCTGCCTGGTGTTTTTACATGAGTAGAATGTGTGCTTTTATTTAAAATGAATCTCCGAGTTATTTGTGGGGCATAGAAATTCGTTCATTTTTTTAAAAAAAAATATATATAGTCCGGCCCCCCATAAGGTCTGAGGGATAGTGGACTGGCCTCCTGCTGAAAAAGTTTGCTGATCTCTGACCTACACTGTGAACCAGGAAGTCTTGGGTCCAGATCTCACTAGGAGATGCACCTATCTCACCGATTGGGGGCATTCTCTGCACTTGTGTGCTTTTTCCTTTGGTGCATGGTCTTATCCTCTCAATGTTGACAGTGCTCTAGTTATCTCCCGCTTGGACTACTACAATGTGCTGCAGGTGGGGGTACCTTTGAAGGTGACCTGGAAACTACAATTAATCCAGAATGCGGCAGCTAGACTGGTGACTGGGAGTGGCCACCGCGACCATATATGGTAACACCAGTCCTGAAAGACCTACATTGGCTCCCAGTATGTTTCCAAGCAGAATTCAAAGTGTTGGTGCTGACCTTTAAAGCCCTAAACGGCCTCGGTCCTGTATACCTGAAGGAGCATCTCCACCCCCATCATTCAGCCCGGACACTGAGGTCCAGTTCCGAGGGCCTTCTGGTGGTTCCCTCACTGTGAGAAGTGAGTTACAGGGAACCAGGCAGAGGGCCTTCTTGGTAGTGGTGCCCGCCCTGTGGAACGCCCTCCCACCAGATGTCAAGGAAATAAACAACTACCCGACTTTTAGAAGACATCTGAAGGCAGCCCCGTTTAGGGAAGTTTTTAATGTTTGATCGTGTTTTTAATACTCTGTTGGGACCGCCCAGGGTGGCTGGGCGGGTTATAAATAATAAAATATTATTATTAGGCATAGGCATAGATTTGCACTATTTCAAAACTGACCACAATTCCTCATTGAGAGGATCTGTTTGCTGACCATTCAGAAATACAGTGGTACGTTGGGTTACATACGCTTCAGGTTACAGACTCTGCTAACCCAGAAATAGTACCTCGGGTTAAGAACTTTGCTTCAGGATGAGAACAGAAATCGCACGGCGGCAGCACAGCAGCAGCGGGAAGCCCCATTAGCTAAAGTACCTCAGGTTAAGAACAGTTTCAGGTTAAGGACAGACCTCCAGAACGAATTAAGTACATAACCAGAGGTACCACTTTACCTGTTTTGGACCAGAGATGCAGCCACAAGTTGGAAGCAAGCAAGTTTTTCTGTGAAACTTTACTGAATTGTTCGAACCTTGCTTTGGGCACTTGCTATTTTTTCTTTCTGAGTTAAAAAATTGTTCCTCTACATTTTGAGCAGAATGTGCAACTCTTTAAGAAACCGCATAGCTCCCCACCCCGACCCACTGCTTCCACCCCCCACCCCCACCCCAGCCCTCCCCTCCCCTCCCCTTCTCCTCCGTCTTCAATTGAGTGACTGCTACTTCTCAAATAATCAATATGTCAGTTAAAAACATGTCACGGTGTGGTCATTGTATGGTTCCCATTCAAAGTCCATGTCATTTAGACTTTCATTGGCAGCTATTTTGTCCCATTAAAAAGTTCAAGACAGCAATTTGTGAATCCTGCTCAGCCAAGTAGAACTGTGAAAAAAGGAGTTATTTTAAAAGTCAATTAATTGTGGTCTATTGGAGCCCTCCTCATTCAATTTTTTTTCAGGACTTGTCACGGGGGAGCATCTGTCAGGTCTGTGTTTCCCAGGCTGCTATCAGATGCCATTACATTGTAAATAATGGGTTCATTTAGGCTCTTTATTGGACTTTGTGTGGTAGACACATTTGTATATCATTTTACGGTGTAACAATTCCATTTACATAAAATATAGGCAATTATGTGAGCAAGTCCAAAAAGCTGTGGGAGGGAGGGAGGACCCCCCCATTAAAATAATAATAAGCTAATTGAAAAGAAGGAGATAATTTAGGAGAGAATGCCAACACTTCGAATTCATGGTTCCATGATGATTCGGGAATAGAGTCTGTATGTTTAAAGATAATATCAGAAATACTCCAAATGATACCGTTTAATGCTGCATATAATGTGTATTCATTGTTGGATAAATAAAACTACTCTTTTTCCCCCTTCAATGATATTTTATTAAGTTTCAACACTTTTAACATATACAATCGAAACACAATTTCATCTTTGTCAACTTCCTACCCTGTTTTCCATGTTGTTTCTCCCCTTTTGCTGCATCCTATCTTCTATCTATTAAATCACGACCATGATAATATAATCTAATTACTTCTGTTGCTCATAGCTCAAATCCAACCTCTTCCCCCCCCTACTTTCTCTTGAAATAGGTAGTAAAACTCCCACTAGTTTTGCATATCACAGGACTCTGCCCATAGTTTTCTTTTTAGCACCGTGGTTTGGTTAAAACGGCTGAGCTAGTGATTGCAGATGAAACTGATTTATATTTCTGCCGAGTTTCCATTCTTCCCACCATAGATTGCTCAGTCAAATGAATAAAGCAAATACGTTTGTTTCCAAGACGCCAACAGTTGGTTTGGCTCCTTTGTGTGGATCTGAAATTCTTAGATCACTTAATTCATGAGAGACTCCTTGCGTGTTTGCTTGCTATTTTTAATTCCATGTGTGCAGATACATAAGGGGAAACTATTAAGACCTCACGCCAATTCAGGAAATTTTGAAGAAAGAAAAAAAGCTTTTTCTAAAAGAAGAAACACTTTTTGTTTCTAGTCAATTCTCCTCTTGCACAAACGGCGTGCCTCTTTTTAAGGCAATGCTTGCTGTCCCCAAGCAGTTGCATGAAATATTTTTCTACACAGACAAAAATCTGCCAGAATAACGAGCAGCATTTCTTGTAGTCTCTTAATTAATCAACAAACGTTAATATATACTTGGCAGCCCCAAAAACTATGCAGAAGAGCTCTGATAATCCTGAAAGCTTGGCATTGTCTTTAACCAACAGATGTTGTCTTTGGGGTTTGTTGCACCCAACATGTTTGACAAAGGCTGCGGTCAGGTGGTTAATGTGAATCCTTACGTTCACCAAGGAAAGTCAGTGACTATTGAGAACTACTTAACTAGATGAGATAGTGTGGCACATTCACGTGTTTTGAATTCAGATCTCAACCCGTTGGAAGCGAGGTTAGTGGGTAGGTCTTCCTTACATGGCAAAAGGCAGTTTTGAGCAGAATATGAGTAAAAGCTATGGTTTTCCCAGTAGTGATATATGGAAGTGAAAGCTGGACCATAAAGAAAGCTGATCGCCGAAGAATTGATGCTTTTGAATTGTGGTGCTGGAGGAGACTCTTGAGAGTCCCATGGACTGCAAGAAGATCAAACCTATTCTTAAGGAAATCAGCCCTGAGTGCTCACTGGAAGGACAGATCCTGAAGCTGAGGCTCCAATACTCTGGCCACCTTATGAGAAGAGAAGACTCCCTGGAAAAGACCCTGATGCTGGGAAAGATTGAGGGCACAAGGAGAAGGGGATGACAGAGGACGAGATGGTTGGACAGTGTTCTCGAAGCTACCAACATGAGTTTGACCAAACTGCAGGAGGCAGTGTAAGACAGAAGTGCCTGGCGTGCTCTGGTCCATGGGATCACGAAGAGTCAGACACGACTAAACGACTAAACAACAACAACAGGCAAATTTGAGGGGGTGGGCGTCGGCCAAACTCCCTTCCCAGGCCCTACCTCCATCCCTCCCAGTTGGAATTCAGGTTTCATAGTCAGTCCAGCCCACAGGCTTCTTGTATATTGCAATTACAGTCATATCTTGGGTTACAGCCGCTTCAGGTTGTGTTTTTTTGAGTTGCGGACTGCCCAAAGCCGGATGTACTGGAATGGGTTACTTCTGGGTTTTGGCGGTCGTGCATGCACAGAAGCGCTAAATCGTGCTTTGTGCAGGAGCGCTGAATTGCAACCTGCACGTACGCAGACACGGGTTGCAAACACTGTGGGTTGCGAACATGCATCCCGCACGGATCACATTCACAGCACGAGCGTCCACTGTATTTATATCCCGTCTTCTAGCATACAGATCCTCCTGTACAAGCACCAATGAAAATAAATTGCAAGACCACAATGAAAACTAACTTCTGTTTTGGTGTCAAGCTGCTCCACACAGGGCAGGTTGTGGGAGACGAGATTGTAGGGAGGACAACAATCTGGGCTGGAGCTAAGCACTGAGGGTCACCGTTGCCTGTCTTTCTCTCTTAGTATCCTCCTCGTGGGTCCATCAGTGGTAGATGGCGATGTGGATTTTACCACTGTGCGGTAAACATGGGTCTCCATCTCATGCGTACAGCAAGGAGGGGTGGCCACTACTTTATTTTATGCAGATGAGATGTGACGCTCATCTAGCCTCCACACAAGGGGTGGGAAGAGAATAATAATAAAATAAAATACCCCGGCCAGAGCCGGCCTCAGGGCGGCTAACACCGGTAAAATCACAATAAAAACATAATAGGGGAGGGGGAAAACCCCAACAATTTAAAATACAGGTTAAAATACAGTTTGAAAAGCAGCCTCATTTTAATAGTAACCCATAGTTCAAAACCGTAAGGGGAGGGAAACATAAGGGTCAGACTGAGTCCAAACCAAAGGCCAAGCGGAACAGCTCTGTCCTGCAGGCCCTGCGGCGCCCTAGTCTTTTGTGACAGAGTGTTCCACCAAGTTGGGGCCAGTACTGAAAAGGCCCTGGCCCTAGTTGAGACCAATCTAACCTCCTTGCGACTTCGGACCTCCAAAGTGTTGCCATTTGTGGACCTTAAGGTCCTCCGCGGGGCGTACCAGGAGAGGCAGTCCCGTGGGTAAGTAGACTCTTGTAAGAAGCATTTAGGGATGCCATGGTGAAAAAAAGGTAAAGGATCCCTGGACGGTTAAGTCCAAAGGCGACTACGGGGTTGTGGTCTCAGCTCGCTTTTCAGGCCCAGGGAGCCAGCGTTTGCCCACAGACAGCTTTCTGGGTCATGTGGCCACCATGACTAAACCACTTCTGGCACAACGGAACACTGTGACGGAAGCCAGAGCGCATAGAAACACCACTTACCTTCCCACCGCAGCGTTCCCAATTTATCTACTTGCACTGGCGTGCTTTCGAACTGCTAGGTTGGCAGGAGCTGGGACTGAGCAACGGGAGCTCACTTCCTCGCGGGGATTCGAACCGCCGACCTTCTGATTGGCAGGCCCAAGAGGCTCAGTGATTTAGACCACAGCGTCACCTGCATCCCTTCGGGATGCCATGAATAGCCGCTGATGTTGCATGCAGCCGCTTTCTTGAATCTTTACTTTGATATGCGAGGTGCATTGTGTATTTTTTTTATTCTTTTATTTATCTATAGCTCAATTCTATGCCAGTTTATGGCGCTCAGCTATAAGCAGCACTCGGGGTGTTATTTTTAGCCTTTCAAGTTAAAAAACAACACAGTTGGCCCATGCTGAAAATGGATAAAGCACCCCACTGGCCTTTAAAAACAACCAACCAAAAAACACCAATTTGGGCAACACGTCATTGGTTGGATCTAGCACTTGTAAGTCCCACATCTTGCATGTTTGGTCAGGGCTGGGAAACCTGTGACTTGCCAGATGTTAGGTCAGGAATCATGTAAGTTATGGTCCAATAAATATGGGGGGGGTACATTCCTCATCTCAGTGCAAGGTTGTGTTTCCACATACCTCATTTGCTTAATGCACAGCAGCATTAAGCTGATATTATATCCTTTTGAATTTAGCGGCCACGTTGCTCACCGGAGCAAGACGGTTTGAGCATATTACACCGATCCTGGTCTGACTGCCCTGGCTACCAATTAGTTTCTGGGCCCAATTCAAAGTGCTGGTTTTGACCTATAAAGCCTTAAACGGCTCAGGACCACAATACCTCAAGGACCGCCTCTTTCCATATGAACCTACCCGGACCCTAAGATCATCTTCTGAGGCCCTCCTTCGTGTGCTGACTCCTCAAGATGTTTGGAGGGTAGCAACACAAGAACGGGGCCTTCTCTGCAGTGGCTCCCCGTCTGTGGAATGCTCTCCCCAGGGAAGTTCGCCTGGCGCCTTCATTATACACCTTTAGGCGCCTGGCAAAAACATTCCTTTTTAACCAGGCCTTTGGTTGACCTGATTGACATCCTATACCCTTTTAAAATGTGGCTCTTTTCTGGGTTTTTTCTTTATTGGGTTGCTGTTTTTATTCTGATTATATATGTTGTGATCTTTTCTGTGAACTGCCCTGAGACTTCCAGGTATAGGGTGGTACTCAATAAATAATAATAATAACTTTTAGCTAGCAAGAGTATACATAGTGCATATGTGTAAACATCATCTGTAACAGCCCGGTATAACCTGGAGTTCATACCTCGGAATATATTTTGCCACTATCTCAATAGCATAGAAAGCCAGTGTGGTCTAGGGGCTAGTGTCGGACTAGGACTTGGGAGACCAGAGTTCAAATCCACTCTCGGGTGATGATAAAATAAAATTTTATTTATTCATTCATCCATTCTCTGCCCATCCGACTGGGTTTCTCCAGCCCCTCTGGGCAGCTGCCAACAGATTAAAAACAGAATAAAACATCACACATTAAAAACTTCCCTAAAATTTGTGACTTTGGGCCAACCACTGCATCTTAGTGCAACTTACTTCACAGGGTTGATGTGGGCATTAAATGAGGAGGGGGAGAACCAAATACAGCACCTTGAGCTTGGGGAAAAGGCGGGCTACAAACAGGGGTGCCAACCTGAATAAAACATTGGGGGCCCAGTAAGCCCCACCTGCATAAAATTGATCACATGATGTGGCGCACACACATCATTTGAATGGCAGTGCCCATCAACTTTGGGGGTGGGGGTGGCCTGGCCCCTTCAAATATTTCATGCGGGGGAGGGGCAGACACAAAGAGACCTTGATCCCTAGGAGTTGGCTCTGGTGGCTACAGATGAAATAAGGAAATAAATAGGATGGAGATGAAAATCAACTTGCATGAGTTAGATGTTGGGCTGGTCAGGTCTACTTTTAAATAGCGACAGTGGGTTCGGCGAAATTAAGAAATGACCGCATCTCTTCAGAAGGAAAACGTCGAACGGTGTTTTACAATATGCTGACGGCTGTACTTTTTATTTTTTCTAACAAAAGAGTAGCTTTAAAGGGAAGGGTCTCGTTTCAGCGCAGCTTAAGTGAGACTCCTTTCACAGGGGCAGAGCAGAATAAGCTGCACCGACTTCTATTCACACAGCCTGCCGTTTATAGGGGTGGTCCCAGTCACTCAAAAGCTCATTAAAGAGTTTTCTCTCGCTCGGACTTCATGATAGCGTGTCGAGGAGTTTGAGTGGGGGGAGAGCAGCTTGCAACCACTGTTTGGACTAAAAGAGGCGCAGACTCTACCAAAAAGAGCAGGCCTGTGCAGGCAGCAGATATGAGCGACTCCTGCACCTTTGATAACCTGTAAACCTGTTAGAATTCCTGCTCTATGATTGCAGTCATGGGATATTTATCTTTCACATGACGGTATATGTTTTGACTCCACAGAGTGGGAAGTGACGGAGACAGGATGTTTGTGTTACTGTGTTCCGTGAAGTGGGACTATTGTCCTTTGTTCATACACTTTGCTGTCTGATGCTAGAGAGAGAGGGAGCCATGTTGCAGTGCTCTGTGTGTGTTTATATGTAGATAAAGTAGATTAGCCAAAATGCTGAGTTGCTGAGGTCTATTACGCAAGCTGCACCACGCTCTGCGGATCCCTAAGTGTGCCGATGTCTGTTGGCATCGGTCGCTGTGATGTTCGGGCTGAAGAAATCTTATGAAGCTCCTGAACAAATGATCAGGAGGGAGAGAACATGCCAGTCGGGCATGTGTCTCTGCCAGGGTCCTACTCGAGTGTAGGCTGAGCTCCTGACAACCCACCTTGATCTCCCCAGCAAGCCAGGCAAGGGGCATTGCTATGGGTCACAGAACCATTCCAGTCTGGCCAAAAACCTCTGAAGAGAATGCCTGATGAGGTGTAGACAACCCCAAGGCCATTCTGGAGTATGGACTTCATCCCTGAGGTTCCTTGCACCACACTGGACACAGGTGTGGCAGCAGAACATGGAACTTTTCTCAGATAGTACCAACATCTCCTTGTCTCAGTCTCCGTGGTGGTGTGCCAAGTCGGCTACTTTGCCAGGCTAAACAAAGCCTCTGTAGCTGGTTAGTGGATGTGATGTTTGCCCTCCTAGGTGTGTGACATCATGCCGGGTTCATAAGGAAAGGGTTAACTAATTGTAACCAATGGGACTGTAGCCAATTCAATGCTTTGGAATTATGGTGCTGGAGGAGACTCTTGAGAGTCCCATGGACTTCAAGAAGATCAAACCTCTCCATTCTGAAGGAAATCAGCCCTGAGTGCTCACTGGAAGGACAGATCCTGAAGCTGAGGCTCCAATACTTTGGCCACCTCATGAGAAGAGAAGACTCCCTGGAAAAGACCCTGATGTTGGGAAAGATGGAAGGCACAAGGAGAAGGGGACAACAGAGGATGAGATGGTTGGACAGTGTTCTCAAAGCTACCAGCATGAGTTTGACCAAACTGCGGGAGGCAGTGGAAGACAGGAGTGCCTGGTGTGCTCTGGTCCAGGGGGTCACGAAGAGTCGGACACGACTAAACGACTGAACAACAACAACAAACCAATGGGAACCCAAGGGGCAGAGATAACTGTGTACAAGGTTTAAGCACAGAGGGTTTTGGGGTGGGGGAGTTAGAGGTAGGGTGGTTGAGAAGACAGTCTGGAGTTAGAAGAGACAGAGAAGATAAGTCTGTGGGTTGGGCTAGTCTGGTGTGAGAGAGTGAGAGAATTTGTTAAGAGGAGTCAGTCAAACAGTTGAGATCAGTCAGAAGGTATTAGGAAGGTATAGGCCGGTAAAGAAACTAAAAATACTGATAGGAATATTATCTGAGAAACCATAAACTTGTTAATGTTTGTAAAATAAACTCTCTTTTTTTTGGTTCACTTTTAACAACTGACTGGACTCAGTGTTTTACCAGAGAGTAACTGGTTGGTGGCAGCGGGGAAGCGAGCACAGTGGTGGCACAGGGATCAATAGACCGTTAAACATCCGGGGATCCTGTGTGATCACCACAGTGGAGTTCAAAACACATCTGATATTGGAGACAATAGAATTCCGACTCATCCTTCCTCTGTTCTTTATTTTTATTAGCAAAGTGCTTTACATTCTTTATTGTTTGCCCTCACAACAACCCTGTGAGGTAGGCCACTACAACTTCCCCCTTTTCCCAGTCAGGAAGTGGGTTGACTTAACTTGCCCACGACTGCACGACGAGTCCATTGCCGAGAAGAGACTTGTGAGCTAACCTGTCGCTATTCTCGGCTCCCTTTCCCTTAAAGAAAACGCACACTTCTCTTTTGACGTCCCGCCTCTGCCAAACAACACGAGCGCCATCGTTCTCCCTTATACGCAAAGCTGTCCTGAAATTGGTCCTTTGGATCATCACGACAGGCATGGCGACTCCTTAGTCAAATGGAAACTCGCAGGGATTTGCCCCCCTCTCAATAGCTTTGTGATAGACAGCACCAAAGTCTTTAAATCGCGGGGCACAGCCCAGCCAAGCTTCCCCAAAGTGCTCATTGCCCGTGAAGAGGAAATCGCCGGTTCCTTTCTTCACCTTACATTGCAGCAAGGTCTTGACGGGTCCTCGCCATTCGCCGCTCACTTTATCTTGCTGAAAGATCTGGTTTTTCTGCCTGTAGACCCGCCGCGCGCCGACTTCCACCTGGGACATGTGGTTCTCCGCATCGTGGGTGACGTTGTGGATCGATCCTCTCACCACTAGGTGTAAATTTTGCGTGTTTATTTATAAGGGAACTATGAATCGCCCTTCCTCCAAATGGGCACAGGGCAATCCGCAACAAACATAATTTTGAAAACAGGTGAGTGCATTTTGAAACAACGAATCATCAAAACACTGACTCATGTAATGTTGCTAAGGATTAAATATTGCATTATCAAGCCTGGGCAAAGAAAACTGTTTCTTAGTTGACACCTGAAAACCAACAATGTGAAGACAGGTGTAACTCTAGGGGTGAAGATTCCATCTGGGCCTGTGGGTCAAACTTGGCCCACCAGTGGGTCTAATTTGGCCCACGATTCCATTTCCCCCAAACCATGCCCATCATCTGACATCACTTAACCATCCAGGGGTCCTTTGCCTTTTTTTACCTTTTACTTTATACAGTAATGGCTTGGCTTCCCCCAAATAACTATGGAATGTGTAGTTTGTTAAGGTTACTGAGAGTTGTCAGCGGACCCCCTTTCCCCTCACAGAGCTACCGTCCTTAGGGTGGTTTAACAGTCAGTCCCTCTTTCCAGAAAACGCTGGGAATTGTAGCTCTGTGAGGGCAATAGGGGGTCTCCTGATGCTTTTCAGCATCCTTGGTAAGCTACACTTCCCATGATTCTTTGGGGGAAACGGTGACGTTTTTGAAGTGGTATCACGGTGCTTTAAATGTCATGTGCGAATGTGCCCAACGTCTTCTACTCTGCTCAAGCCGGTAGTTCATTTCCCTCCTTCTCTTGCTTAGCTAAAGCAATGAGCCCCACTGTTTTTCAGTTGATTAAGTTACCGGCAGGGCCGGGTTTAGGTCTGATGAGGCCCTACGCTTCTGAAGGTAATGGGGCCCTTCATGTGTCCAGCTGTCCTTTGTCAACAACAAATTGTCGCTGTTTTTTGTGTTGAATATACGCTATATTTATGGACCTCATAGGTATCTAAAGCCATTTGCACATGTTGCCATGCAACAGGTGACCTATATATAGGTACCCTATATATAGAAAAGAGCAAACCAGTGATATTTTAGGGAGCAGGCTAGCAGGCGGGGCCCATTACTTACACCATAGGAGCCTACACAACACAAAGCACTGTTCCTGTATGTAGGTTTTATTTTATTTGTTTTTTATCTTATATTTTGAAAATGTACATCCAGTTCCCCCCCCCCTTTAATTTTTTTGGGATCCTCAAGACAGTGTGACCCTAAGCTATAGCTTGTTTTGCTTTTGCGTAAATCCAGCACTGGTTACCGGGGTCTCAAGTGAGGAAGTTCCTCCTTGCTGGGCCTGCAAAACACACATAAACGACTGACAGATGTTGTGCTGAAGGCCACATGGTGGGGGGCATTTAGACTTGAAGCATCCACAGAGCAGACGAAATAGCCCTTAGAACTGACTCTATTTATGGCTTCACTTCCATGCCCTGAGTTTAGCAGTTGCCACCACCAGGTTTGTGTGTGTGTGTGTGTGTGTGTGTGTGTGTGTGTGGATTAGATCAAATAACTGGTCGTGGAAGTGCAATTGACCCCCAAAGCACACTTAGCTTTATGGTTCTTAAGAGCGGAGGCCCTCAGACCTCAGGAGCAACTTGGAGCAGGAGGAACAAGAGCATTATAGTTTGTCAATAGACTTGACTGAATCTGAGTGCCGGGGGTGGGGGGAGAAGGGGAACAGAACAGGGGGACATCTGTTATGCTAAAAGGCTAGTGGCTCCAGGAAATTGGATTAACTAAGGAAGTTCCCGAAATCTTCCTAAGTAAGTTCTTTGTGCCTATGACATGAGTGAGATAATTATCCTCAAAGGGGGAAGATTTCAAGCGCTGCCTTCTTTTGCAGACAAATTCCATAATTGATTAGTTGGTTTGGGGTGCCTTATTTTCGATCACAAGTAGAAATTGTTGTCTGAGAGCTATAGGTGTGGAAATGGGCTTGTGACCAAATTAGGGATGATTTATTCACCCACAGGCCTTTAAAAATATATACTGTATATTTTGCTCTATAAGACTCACTTTTTCCCTCCTTAAAAGTAAGGGGAAATGTGTGTGCGTCTTATGGAGCGAATGCAGGCTGCGCAGCTATCCCAGAAGCCAGAACAGCAAGAGGGATTGCTGCTTTCACTGCGCAGCGATCCCTCTTGCTGTTCTGGCTTCTGAGATTCAGAATATTTTTTTTCTTGTTTTCCTCCTCCAAAAACTAGGTGCGTCTTATGGTCCGGTGAGTCTTATAGAGCGAAAACTATGGTATATTTAATGAGGAGGGGTGCTTTGTCAGGCAGAATTCAGGGTGCACTCAAGGCAGTGGCTGTCTAAATGCTATCCTGAGGACCCAGATTTCAATGTAGAACATGAATACAGTGGAGCCAGATGTATGTGACGGATCATTCTGAAGTTCACAATCGGTCTGGGATGGCGACAAAAATAAAAGTCATCATGGCTTGAAAAGATGCCCACCCCCCAGCCCTCCCCTAATAGTGATGTGAATTGGCTTTGAGGAGACCTTTACACTATGAGCCTGTTCATACGACTTGCAGGGCTATATAAGTTCACTGGATCTTACTCCCAGGAAAGTGGTTACAGAAGACAGAATGGCCACCACTAGGCATGATTGGAGTTCTATCTGTGACGACCCATTTGTTCATGAAAATCATTGCTTGGCATTTCAGTGATGTGAACCTTAAAGACCATTAGCAGTGTGGAACCATTGTAGGGCTCATCTCAGTGGTACATACCAGATCCTGCCAGAACCAGTTAGTCCTGCAGGAGACAAGTTTTCGACAGTCAAACCTCGGTTGTTGAATGTACAGTAATCCATTCTGGAAGACCGTTCGACTTCTGAAACATTTGACAACCGAGGCACGGCTTCTGACTGGTTGCAAGAGCTTCTTGCACTCAAGCAGAAGCAGCGTCGGACATTAAAGTTCCAAGGAAAACCAGAGCATTTACTTCCAGGTTTTTGGATTCTGGGAACCGAAATATTCAAAAATGGAACCGTTCGAGAACACAGAGAGAGAGAGAGAGAGAGATAGAGATAGAGATAGAGATAGAGAGAGAGAGAGAGAGAGAGAGAGAGAGAGAGAGAGACTAGGGGAGTGTGACTCTGTTGACCTTCCTCAATTTCTTAACACTTTCAATACCATAGACCATGATATCCTTCTGGAGCAACTTTGTGTTTGGGATTGAGAAGACTGCATTGCAGTCATTCCATTCCCTTCCTACTTGTGGATGACCACACACTCCAAAACTCTCTATGATCCTGCTCAGCAGTTTCATACAGATGTTAAAGAACATGGACCAACCCTCATACTAGAGAGCCCATGGAGCTTGGCAGTGTTCCCCCCAGAAGTCATTATTGCGTTGTTGCAATAATGGACTGGGTGAGGGCCAGGAAACTGAAGTTCAATTCAGACAAGACTGAGAGGCTGTTGCTAGGCAGTTCCTCACCAGTGAGGATACCCAGTGCTCAGAGGCACTAGGCTATGCTCGAACTTAACAGCTGATCAGCAATTTTACTTCTGACTCTAAATTTACTTCTGACTCTAAATATGCACAGGACTACACCGTTTCCACCTCTCCAAAAAACGATGTTCTCATGCCATCTCACTTACCAAAATCACTGCTGCAAATAGCCATGAGAAGTTCCATGTTGTCACAGGGGCGGCACATAGCTGGGGAAGGAAAACACGAAGTCGATAAGGAGGGTTGCTAGAGGGCTCTTAAACGAGTCCCGAACGGTGAGCCTGGTACAACGACCTCATTGGCACCTGGATCAAGTTTTGCCTTCATTCTGAGCATCTGAGAGCATTTGTATGATTTTCTGTAACATGGGGTGAGGGAGTGGAATCTGAGCTCCATTCACTCCATCTTTTGGCCCTGCTGCCTGCAGCCCAACAACATCTGAAGAGTCACAGGTTCCTCACCTCTGACCTTGAGGGGTCTTGTGATAATCCGCTCAGGAACATCTGTTTCTAAAGCAGTACATAATTTCTGTCGATTGCTCAGGCCTGCAGAGGTCAGCTTCTTACCCTCCAATATTTCTCCAGTGAAAATAGGGACATTTGACAAATAAATGAGCTGCGAGGTCTTTTTAAGACAAGCACTCTCTGGAATTAGATATCTTGGATGGTTCACTAGGAATGTGTGCTCATAGCATTCAACATGTTTCTTCTTACAGTGGTGGCTCGCAAGACGAAATTAATCCGTTCCGCGAGAGTCTTCGTCTAGCGGTTTTTTCGTCTTGCGAAGCAACCCTATTAGCGGCTTAATGGATTAGCGCTATTAGCGGTTTAGCGGCTATTAAAGGCTTAAAGGCTTAGGGGATTAGCTGCTAAAAGGCTATTAAAGGCTATTAAAGGCTTAGCAGATTAGATAAAGGGGGGGGAAAGCGAAAAAAAAATCTCTAGACTCGCAAGACATTTTCGTCTTGCGAAGCAAGCCCATAGGGAAATTCGTCCTGCGAAGCGCATTGAAAACAGAAAACCCTTTCGTCTAGCGGGTTTTCCGTCTTGCAAGGCATTCGTCTTGCGGGGCACCACTGTATATTATTTTAATTCTTTTATAGTTTAACTGGTGGGGATGCAAGAGGGGGCCTTGTTGGTGGATTGTAATTATTTGTATGTTTTAAACAGATTATATATATGTACAGTTGTACCTTGGAAGTCAAATGGAATCCATTCTGGAAGGCCGTTTGGCTTCCAAAATGTTCGGAAGCTGCAGAAGCCTCATCAGGTGTTTGGTTTCCAAAAATAGTTCACAAATGGAAACAGTCACTTCAGAACAGTCCATTCAGGAGCCAAAACGTTCGAGAACTAAGTTGTTCAAAAACCAAGGTACAGAGCTTTAATACTACCAATGTTTAACTATTTTTTAATGTTTGTTTTCCCTATATTTCCCTATGTTTTTATCTGTAAGCTGCCTTTAGGGGAAAAGGCAAGGTATAAATATATACTAATTAATAAATAATAATAATAATAGCAGAAAAATGGGTAAAAGTTTTATTTTGCTCTTCAGGGCTTCTGGTATAGCTGATTGATTGGCTGGCTTTGCTTTCATTTTATCTTTTGACCTGGTTGCAGCTGCTGATGTGAATAGCTTGCTTTTTCTTATATATATATACGTTTGATATTTTATTGATCTAATTGTTTTATGAGCAGCTTTTGGGGTGGGATGGGGTTATTTCATGTGAACTTGAAGATCCCCGACCCCACATGAGGTTCGAACACCAAACTGGGGGAAATGAGACCCACACGTAATCGTTTACCTTCCACGAGCGCCATTTTCTGGAAGTCTGGGCCTGTGACAGTCTTGTTGCTCAGCAACTCGTACTGGAAGCTGGCTGTCCTGCGGCTGATGTCCCTCTGAGGACTGGCCTGCAGGAAAAGCGCCACCCTCTGGGGCGTGCGGGTGCTGAAGCAGGAGACTTGGTGCAGGCGGGGCTCCTCAGCGTCACTCAGCAGCAGGTGGAGCTGCCCGTCCCTCTCCACGTAGATGTTGGCACCTTGGAAAGTGTTGGACGGCTTGATGCAGACGGCAGTGTGCTGAGCGCTGGACAGGTTGGGCTCCAAGATGACGCGGAGGGCTCGGGTCGGGTACATCCATTCCAGGAAGCCCTCGGTGCAGCGCAGGTGGACCTGCTCCACCGCACGGGAGCGGGGCTCCCAGCTCAAGCCGCTGGAAAACAGAGGGGTGGACAGCTGTGACAACCAAATCTCTCTATCTGGCCACACCTCCTTCCATAACCAAACCCCTTGCCATAAGACACACCCCTTACCAGCCGTGCTTCGCCTCCTCCATGAGTGTTTTTGTCCGGATGGAATTATTATTATTATTATTATTTTATTTTATTTGTATACCACCCCTATACCTGCAGGTCTCAGTGCTGTTCACAATATAACACCACAATATAAAAACACAAAATACATAATAAAACCCAAAACAAGCCAATAAACCACCCCTCTCAGGATTGGGGCATCAGGCCGGATCTCTAAAGTGTGGCACTGAATGAATTTCCTTAACACTGGCAGAAGAAACCACCCATTGAGGAGAAGAGAGCCTTCATCAAAGCTAACCACACTGTTGAGATGGGTATGGTAGTTTGCTCTGACTGATAAACATACACAAAGCTTTAGAATGATGCGTGGAGCAACAACAACAACAAAAGGATCCCTTTGATGCTGATTTTGCTTCAGATTTATTTCTGTTATCAACTGTTACCTAAAGGTAAAGGTAAAGGTAAAGGACCCCTGGACGGTTAAGTCTAGTCAAGGACGACTATGGGGTTGTGGCGCTCATCTCGCTTTCAGGCCAAGGGAGCTGGCGTTTGTCCACAGACAGCTTTCAGGGTCATGTGGCCAGCATGACTAAATAGCTTCTGGTGCAAGAGAACACCGTGACAGAAACCAGAGCACACGGAAATGCCGTTTACCTATTTATCTACTTGCACTGGTGTGCTTTCAAACTGCTAGGTTGGCAGGAGCTGGGACAGAGCAATGGGAGCTCACTCCGTCACAGGGATTCAAACCTCCGACTTTCTGATTGGCAAGCCCAAGAGGCTCAGTGGTTTAGACCACAGCGCCACCCGCATCCAACTGTTACCTAAAGGAACCTCATCCCCCCCTCCCTGTAACTCATACATATTTTTGGCTTGGTTATTAACTTAAGAAGAAGAAGAAGAGTTTGGATTTGATATCCCACCTTTCACTCCCTTTTAAGGAGTCTCAAAGTGGCTAACATTCTCCTTTTCCTTCCTCCCCCACAACAAACACTCTGTGACGTGAGTGGGGCTGAGAGACTTCAGAGAAGTGTGACTGGCCCAAGGTCACCCAGCAGCTGCATGCGGAGGAGCGGAGACGCGAACCCGGTTCCCCAGATTACGAGACCGCTCTTAACCACTACACCACACTGGCTCTCTGGGTAGCTCTGTTGGTTAGAGCATGTTGCTGATAACACCAAGGTCGCAGGTTCAATTCGCATGTGGGATAGCTGTATATTCCTGCATTTCAGTGGGCTGGAAGAGATTGTTATCAGGATCCCTTCCAAGCCTACCATTCTAAGGTTCTGATTGTATGCTGCTACTATTTTCTGCCTTATACACAAAACCTGCATTTTGCTTTGCACCTAGTTACCAATACACATTATTTTGTTGTTTTTGTGTGTTGTTTCATGTTATTCTTAATTTTTAAAAAACTACACACACAAATTCATACATATAAAACTAACAATTTTGGTCTTCTGACGGGTGTGTATGTTTCCTCACATATAAATTTATCTCTGGACTGGAGTCACATTCACCAATAGCAATTTTGGGACAGATATTTAGGAAGTCAGTCTTTGAGCCAGAGTAGGCCAGAGGCTAAAGGGGAAATTTTCTACTCAGTCAAATATCAAATCTAACAACGTGACTTACAGATGTCAGTTCAGCTTTCAGCACCTATATGCTTCAGATTACAGAGCAGAACATGGCTGCTTTTACGTAGCAAATTGACGCATTCTGTTCATTGTCGAGACAAAAAAGTTTTAGCTTTTTTAAAACAAGTAAAAATGTAATTATACAGGGATCATTTCAGAACAAGCAGTCCGTATTTAAGAACTGCAGAAAGTTAGAGCTTGATGGGGAGGTGGTGGGGAGCCTTGTGTAGCGTGATTCTGTACATTCAGAAATAAGCCTCACTGCATTCAGGAGAACAATATTTTATGCAGTTGGAGGAGTGTACATTGCCCCAGCCTTAAAATCCCTGAGTTCAGTGGGAGAGCGAAGTTGAAATTGCTTCCATTGAACTCAGTGGGACTTAAACCTATCAGACTGTTTGCCAGGACAATGTGCTTAAATCTGCCAGGTATTTAAAATTACGCTATTATGCTATGAGAATTATACTGTTAATGTTGTGCACTGCCCTGGAATCTTTGGATATAGAAATTGAATTAATAATAACAATAATAATAATATCCATTTCCTCAGCGGATGTTGTGCACTGCCCTGGGATCTTCGGATATAGAAATTGAATTAATAATAATAATAATAATAATAATAATATCCATTTTCCTCTGGCGCGTAAGTTCCGCGTCGCTTTGCTTCGCCCTCTCCGCCCGCGGCTTACCTGCCCTTCCAACTGCAGTAGTCGGCGGCGCACGGCTGCAGCCACAGGCGGAGCAGCAGCGGGAACAGCATCCGCATCCGCGGCGTCCCTGCGCGCTTGCTCCGCGCCTCCCTCTCCGGGGACATCAAGCGGCGGCTTGGGGGCAGCTGGGAGCCGGGCCAGCGCGAAGCCAGTCCCTCCGTCGAGAAGGGAAGGAGAGGGGAAAAGGGTGCTTCGTTTTCCCTTCTCTCTCCGCGGGAGGGAGAAGGAAAGCGGCCTCGTTGGAGAGCGCGGGATGGAGACTGGAGAGAGACAGAGACGCGCGCTGTGCGCAACAGGACGAAGCGAATGAGACGGGAGAGCCTGCGACCCTCCCATGCCTGTATTTCAACGAGGTCTAATCTGCGGTTGAGTTGACAGATGTCCCTGGTTTTCCAGAACTCCCACTTCTCCCCCCAGCATCGCCAAACACAGGGGCTGCGCTTTGTTGCAAAGAGGCGCACCCCCACCAAACCAAATTATACATACATAAGGGAGCAAGGAGCGTCCTCGCCATATTGAATGCCCAGTTAGTGTGCGCGCGTGCATTTAGTTGTTCATGTATGGGCTGTGGGTCGGGAAGGTGGTATGGGAAAGAAGAACAGCAACTTATTATCGTTATTATCATTTTATTATTTTTTCCGTCTCATTAGTACATTTCTCTCCTGCAGCCTTCATCACTAACGCTAGAACCAACAACGGGTCAATACAGACCACATAAGAGATGATGCCGAAATGGCAAAATTAACTGGGAAGCTCAGAAATCAAGAAGACATGAACTTTAAGAAAACCACACTTGTAAAGTAACGGAGACGATGGATAATTTAGAAGGACAAGAATTTGGATATGCAGTTGTAAATATTATCATTATCATCCATGGAAAGGATGGGGGGGTGGAGTCAGGAAATTCAGAGTAATCTCAATATTTGTATTTGGAATTGTTTTTTGTTACATGTTTATGCTTTTTAAAAAATCAAATACAAAAATTATTTTTTAAAAAACACAATACAGTGGTACCTCGGGTTACATACGCTTCAGGTTACAGACTCCGCTAACCCAGAAATATTACCTCGGGTTAAGAACTTTGCTTCAGGATGAGAACAGAAATCGCACAGCAGCGGCGCAGCGGCAGCAGGAGGCCCCATTAGCTAAAGTGGTACCTCAGGTTAAGAACAGCTTCAGGTTAAGAACAGACCTCTGGAACGAATTCAGTTCTTAACCTGAGGTACCACTGTACAGGCCACATAAGCAAAAGGCAGCAGGTTTAAACTACTTAATATGAGTAGGAAAAGAGCAGGAAAAACATTTCTGACAGTAAGAGCTGCTTGACAGTGAAACAGACTCCTGCGAGAAGTGGTGGACTCTCCTTCCTTGGAGGTTTTTAAGCAGAGGTTGGGTGGCCATCTATCACGGGTTGGACTAGATGACTCTTGCTACCCCTTCCAACTCTACAATTCCATGATCCTAAAAAATGGCTTAAAAGGGTCAGCTCCCACTTTATAATTTTTTGTGCAACTCTAACCTCTAAGCCTTCTTCAGCAAGCACCTTTGTATAAATGCTATTGCAGTTGTCCAGATGATTGTTATACAGTGGTACCTCGGGTTACATACACTTCAGGTTACATACGCTTCAGGTTACAGACTCCGCTAACCCAGAAATAGTGCTTCAGGTTAAGAACTTTGCTTCAGGATGAGAACAGAAATCGTGCTACGGCGGCGCGGCGGCAGCAGGAGGCCCCATTAGCTAAAGTGGTGCTTCAGGTTAAGAACAGTTTCAGGTTAAGAACGGACCTCCGGAACGAATTAAGTACTTAACCCGAGGTACCACTGTAATCTGGTATGCCAGTTGCAGGTGTGTGTTGATGCACTTTATCACTACCCTAATGAGTCTCCAAGCGGCTAACAATCTCCTTTTCCCTTCCTCCCCCAAAACAAACACTCTGTGAGGTGAGTGGGGCTGAGAGACTTCAAAGAAGTGTGACTAGCCCAAGGTCACCCAGCAGCTGCATGTGGAGTTGCAGAGACGCGAACCTGGTTCACCAGATTACGAGTCCACTGCTCTTAACCACTACACCACACTGGCTCTTAATACTTCACCTGCTGTTTGTACGCTTTTGCTAAGTGCGCAATGTGGACCTGAGGTTTTCTTCACAGCTGTATGGGGCTTCGGTTTTTGTTTGTATGTTATCCATTCCCCCCCATCCTGCAATAAACTCACAAGAATGCACCTTCGATTTTAAACAGCCTCTCCATTGGGTTTTGGAGTACAGTAACGGTTGAGAAGGGCTCAAAAGTAATGACAGTGCCAAAGAGGAAAACAATCTCTGTCTTACTTGGCTCTTGAGCAGTGCATTTTTAAAAAGCCAGTCACCTTTGGGGAGTGCACTGGTGTTTCTAAGCGTTGCCAGGTTGCCACCCGGGGAAGGCTCTTTTGTTATTTTTAAACCTGCTGCTGTTTATTCCTTCCTCTTTTGTCTCTGCCAGCTGTAGTGAGCAGGACTCTAATGTGCTTCACAGCAGGCAGAGAAGAGGTGAATTAAAAGGCCAAGGAGGAAAACCAGCAGGAAGCCCCAAGGCTGTTCCTATCCTCTGTTAAAGAAAAAAAGGGGTTGTGGGGTTTTTTTGCCGAATTTTCAGGTTCTGTGCAGGCAATCTGACTGGTATTTCATATTCAATGCATAAACATGCATAGTAACTAAATCTGAAAAAGTGTTCCATGGAAATGCATTTTATTAAGATGATTTTTCTAACTTGCTTTTTTTTAAATGGAGGAAGCCACCAGTATAATTGCCAGCTGCCGTTATAATTGAACCCCACCCCCACCGCCGATTCATTTTCTGTGAAACAAAAGTGCCTGTTTTCCTTTGGCCAAATGCTGGTGGTTATGAAATGGTTTTAATGATTTGAGTACAAGGGACTGTGAAGTGGCTACTGCTGGAGACCAATTGGACCAAGGTGAAGCAACATGGATTTGTGATAACCTTCTGGGAAGTTTTAAATTCTCCTCGTCTAAAGTCAGGAATCTGAAGAATAACTGAAGGAGCGTCTCCACCCCCATCGTTCTACCCAGACACTGAGGTCCAGCGCCGAGGGCCTTTTGGTGGTTCCCTCACTGCGAGAAGCCAAGTTATAGGGAATCAGGCAGAGGGTCTTCTCAGTAGTGGTGGAACGCCCTCCCACCAGATGTCAAAGAGAAGAACAACTACCAGACTTTTAGAAGACATCTGAAGGCAGCCCTCTTTAGGGAAGCTTTTAAGGTTTAATGCATTATTGTATTTTAATATTGTGTTGGAAGCCGCCCAGAGTGGCTGGGGAAACCCAGCCAGATGGGCAGGGTATGTATGTATGTATAAATACAATACAATACAATACAATACAATACAATACAATACAATACAATACAATACAATAATCCACTCAAAGTCAAGCATAGCTGCATCCCACTGATTTCAAGAGGAGTTCCCAAGACCAAACCAGGAAAAAAACACTGAAGAATTGTGAACCTTTTCAGAGGCGTGAAGTGATTTTTTTGTAGGAGAACCGTTAGGGCTGGAGGCACCAGCTTGTGAGTGATCACGTGAGCATCTCGTGCCTCCATCCATAAGACAGACAGAAGAAGCTTCAGGGGTTTGGGGAAGGAGATGCCAGGCCTCTGACAAGATGCTGGAGTCCTCCTGCCTCCTCCCCAGGTGGGCTTTGGGAAGGTGGTGGAAGGGCTCTTGGATCAATCCGAGCCTCGCACCTCCCTCCCTATGCTGGGCAGAAGCTTCCTGGGCTTTGGGAAGGAGCTGCCAGCGGGAAAATTTAGGGGACTAGCCTAGTTTCCCTGGTCCACTGACCGCACACCACTGCACCTCTTGGCTTTTTAAAATATGGGAATGCAGCTATGATGTGTTATAGCAAGTCAAACCACTGGGTCCACTTCTTCTTTGGTGATCACTTGTAGCAGAGTAAGATTGTCTTCCATGAATACGGTCTTAACAATGAGTCCGTAAGTGACTGTGGACGCCAATTCTGGATCCACACGTCCTTCCACAGTGGGGACATTGGTTTCCAGGCAGGAGCTGAGGGTTTGCCAAGCGTGTCTTCCTCTTAGCACGTTTCTCCCTTGCGTCCTGAGTTCGAGCGTCTTCAAAGTCCATGACACCTTTAGTAAAGGCTGTTCTCCAACTGGAGCTCTCGCAGGTGAGTGTTTCCCAGTTGTCGGTGTTTATACTACTTTTATAGATTTGCCTTGAGAGAGTCTTTAAACCCTCCCACCAGATGTCAAGGAAAGAAACAACTATCTGACTTTTAGAAGACATCTGATGGCAGCCCTGTTTAGGGAAGTTTTTAATGTTTGATGTTTTAATATTCTGTTGGGAACCACCCAGTTGTCGCTGTTTATACTACATTTTTTTTTAGATTTGCCTTGAGAGAGTCTTTAAACCTCTTTTGTTGACCACAAGCATTACGCTTTCCATTTTTAAGTTCGGAATAGAGTAGTTGCTTTGGAAGACGATCATCAGGCATCCGCACATGACCAGCCCAAACTTAAGCCAGTATAGTCTACACCAGGCATAGGCAACCTCGCCCTCCAGATGTTTTGGGACTACAACTCCCATCATCCCTAGCTGACAGGACCAGTGGCCAGGGATGATGGGAGTTGTAGTCCCAAAACATCTGGAGGGCCGAGTTTGCCTATGCCTGGTCTACACTAACAGGCAGCTGCTTACCAAGGTTGCAGGCAGAAGTTTTCCCCAGTTCCACCTGGGACTGCATGCAAAGCATCTTATCAGTCACCACTAAGACCCCTGGGGAATGAGTGGTGAGGAATCTCTGCTGCGGGATCTCACTGTCGGCCTGGCTCGCACATCTGGCAGTTCGTTGCACCGCCAGGATGATGTGCGCACCAAGTCGACCCTCTGGCTTTGAAAGCACAGCATAGTTTTAAAATCGGCAGCACCCTGTTGGATAGCAGTGAAAAAGTCCGCCCGAGTGCACCGTTACCCGAAACCCCTTCTGTCCCACAAAGCGCTCATTCTCAGCCCTTCTGGCTCTGGCTGACGGTTAATGAGGAGACCAACCTCCTTTTGTCTTTGGAAAGAAAAAAATATATATCTTAAAG